TGTCTGCATCAAGCCGAAATTGCTGGCAGAATCTAAGTATTCATCATGTTGCCGTTAACTATACTTAGCAGTAGGTGAAAAACAGCGTAGAAATTCGGATCAGGGAATCCTAAAAGATAATGTTTCGCACCTAAACTAACATTGCACACAGTCATTCAACAAATCAATCAATCATTGAATCATTTGAAAGGTCACTCTACAATGCATGAACGCTTCCATTTCATCAAAGAATAACAATTACTGAGAAAAATTTCCATAAATAATAATATTGTCGTCTTAATATTGTCACCAAAAAATTCCCCTATACGTTATTTAAAATGGTGATTTACGGCTTTCTCGCTTGTTCTGCTCTCATTTGCGAGAACCTTCTACGATATCTGTTTATCTATATATAGAATTGTTTGTATTTCTATTCATCACGAAAGCAGAAAACAATTTTACGGTAGTTTCGAAACTGGAATATGTTTACCTTTCCACCAAGCAAACCATGGAAAAGATTTTTCTACAGTTTTCAAAAGACTTTGCCATCCCTCTATGAGAAGTACCTGCGATACATCCTTTTAGTCCTCAAACGATATACACTTTCAAAAGGGCTAAAGTTGTGTCTGATGAAAATTTAGCCTGAATTTTCCAGTTCCGTCATTTGCAATTCGCGTCGATCTTCTTTTTTCCTATTGGTTCCTTTTTCCGTTCTATCTCCATCTCTCCAACGTTTTTTTTTTAGGCTGGCAAATTATTGTTTCAGGGTGCATCATTTAAAAATGCCGGTGCGTAGCTTCTTTCTAAAGGAGTTTTAATAAACTATCTACTACGTTTTCATTGAGCATAGTTTCAGAATCAATCTCTTTCTCCTATAAACTCTGTAGGTTTAGCCTTAATACATTCTGGTCCCATCTCAGAAAGGAGTTCGCACTACTGATTTGTTAATGAAAATACGCCGCATTGGTTTCGCACGCAAATGGCTGAGTAATGCTGACATCATAATTCAATCAATCATCTGCAGGGCTCTTATTTCATCAGCTAGGGCAGTTGGTCTGTTGATTTGTTTAAAAAAGATCGAAACACATGTTGATAGGAGATGTGAAATCATCTGAAAGTACGCAATGTTAACCTTTGAGTACACTGTTTCTTTGGATCGTGGCTTCAACCATGTTACCCGTTGCAAGTAGCTCAGAAATATTAAGAATTTTAATACGATAAATTCTCACGCCCGAGGACAAAAAAAAAATTGGGGGATTTCTTTAAAAAAAAAAAGAAAAGATGATTTTTAGCAAAAAAATTAGTTAAGCCTTATAATTCCCTACCATTGGTAACGTTCGAAATGGTCATAGAGTTCTTAGTAAAAATCTTCGTCTGTCTTGCATGCTTAGACTCCCAGACTTTACGTCCAGTAGTTTCCGTTTTTGTCATAAGTCTATCATGGGCACGGAATTGCCTTTCACTTGTTGATCGCGTAAAATGAGGCTTTCGACGGTCGACGAGCAAATATTTGGACCATCGGTCTGTTAAGCCGACATTTCAGAAGATGCAGTTTCAAACTGAGGTAAAAGAAAGTTCCCAATCCATTAGGAAGCATCAATTGTTCCTACACAAAAAGTAATGACACCTAATGTATTTCGACACGGGCCGGAAATGTTTGTGAATAAGATTAATTAGTGGAATATTTGGATAACCAGCAAAGTAAAAACTTTGTGGCGACATTTTGTTTAGAACTAACTCAGAACTGGGGTGAATGGGTGGATATTGACAATTCAATAGGAATCATCAATTATTCATTCGCAATAAAATTAATGAGCAGCCAGTGTATTTCAACACCGGCCGGAAGTGTTTCAGAACGGATCGGAAAAATGGATCGTACCCTGACAACTGTTTAGGATTAAAATTAAGAAGTTCCCGATGTAGAGAAGAGATACATGAACAACTTACAAAGAAAATGGAAGCTGGTTACCTTCTCCAATAACAGCCAGTGCAATAGCCGCTAAACTAAACATACATCGCCACTCTTTCACAACTGGAAAGGAATTTGAAGGTGCTATTGAAAATCGAACAGGGACCCAGGAACCTGCGGAAATAACTCAGTTTATTGCATTGTCCTCCCCAAAGTATCTCGTAATAACAATTAAAGATCGTAGATCTACAAAACTTGCCGGAAGATCTTTAATTAAGTGTGGGAGAAGAAAAATATTTAGTCAAGTAAAGATCTGTGAAAGGAAGTACATCAGATCATTCTAGAAAAATACCATAATAGTCTTTTAGGCGCCCTAACACTATGATTACTCAAATGCTCTTTGTTAGAATAGCACGTTGGAATTCAGAGTGTACTTTGGGATGCCAAAGCGTCGCGACACATAGCAAAATATTTTTTTTAAAAGAATCAAGACTACTGGCTAAAGAACACGGCTTTAAGGCCTTTTAATCTGAAACTGAAAGGAATTAAACCACATTTGAGCTTACGTAAACATTGTTGTTGAGGAGTATATGCAAATTGCGAGCAAGTGCAAACCAGCACGTGCAGTTCGTGCTAAGAACAAAAGACACGGGAAAAATCTGGCCAATATCAGAAGTACAACCCAAGCTTGCATCTTAAAGAGTCTTACTGTATTTATCCGGAGTGGATTATCACACATGAAAAATGTTCCGGCCCCTTTAGTACTTCCGAGTATTTCCTCGTCTCATGTCTACAAACCTATTTCCCGTTGGTCATAAATGCTGTTCTCTCAAGCTGGTTTTTATGAGAGAGAATTAATGACCTTCAACAATATTTCCAGAACTCGTTTTCATCTTTGTGTTACCGAAATAAGATATTGTTTACCGTAGGCGCTACCCATGAAATTTTGGTTTGGAGACAATTTTTCGAGCTTGAATCACATTAAGATAGTGATAGTTTAATCTCTCACCTGAAGCGAATTTGCCATGTTCGTGACTGAGTTATCTAGAAATGGCGACTCAGGAAATCAATGTAGTACTCCTCAATAAGCAGGATTCGGGCAGTGCTTCATGTAATCTTGGCCATTCATCAGCATGTCATCTAGGTGGGCTTCAGCTTCTTACTAATTTGCATACTCAACGTTTTTATGTGATTACACTAAGCTTCTTTCTAGCTTTCCTCCACTCCGTCTAAATTACGTTGCACCATGAAAACTGAGAACAAGATTGTCACTTTGAAAACGTAATTAAAATTCTCCAGCCATACTTGAAAATGGCAATCTTTTCGTTCAGGCCACACCTCTAATTTTGCATGCGCATAATTAGAGCCTACATTTCCCGCCAAAATCACAAAAGTAGGCAGCCAATGGCTGCATGTGTCTTCTGCTAGTACGGATAAAGTAGGCTTGACGAGAATGAGCAGTTTAAGTACAATTAATAATATAGTTAATTAGAGAAACCATTATTATTATGTAAACCCTATGCAGTGGTCTTCTAAATTTGGTATTGAGGAGTTCAAATCCTCACAAAGAATCCCTAGTGAAACTAATAAACTTAATGCTTACTGAATGGTACTTTTCGTCAGAAAAAAGACCCTGCTTACGTCAGCTAGTTGTAATGAGCAAATCAGAGAAATTTCCTTCCTTCTTGCAGAGTTTGCTGCTTCCAATACTTTGAAAGGTCTCACATTCACAAACAAAGCAGAACTCTTAGACTGAAAGTTTCCGTTTTTAATAAATTTGAATAGTAGCTGTATTGACCGGTAGCCTATGTAACGGTGAAATAGGATTTACTACATCTGCTTCTACATTCGCAATACTTCCATTTCCGATTGCTTTTCTCCTTGGAGCTCGCACAAGTGTTTGAAATGCTAATTTTGAAGCTAGCAGCCGGTTCTTCAATCCATTTAAGCCGAAAAAGAGGAATTTTGCTGGGAACTGCGCGCGGCCGCCCGGATCCGGATGCCATTTTCACCAATTTCAGTTGATCATTTGTTGTGAACACCACGGGAACGAAAATTGGTCGGAAGAATCCTGAGTACAGGCGAAACTCCAGCGTATTTAATCGTTTACTCATTAGATTGATTGGGTACGGAGTGTTACCAATTTAATTACCCGCTCGCCTTTTTTTGATGACTATTGCCTACTGCTTTCTAAAGCAGTAGACACAAAAATTGTTCCCAAAAATAATTTCATTACCTTTAATCTTTTGCAGGGGAGGAACCAAGTCGAGGTCCTCAATTCCTCTCCGCGGGGGATTAGGGGAACGTTGTTTCTGGGAACGAACTAGCTTAATAGCAAATAAAGAAGCCTTGACTGTGCTCTATTCAGTTGTAAAGTTCACAGCAAGCGGCTAGGGCACGTCAGTCAGTCACTCAGTCTGTCAACCAGTCAGTCAGCCAGTCAGTCAGTCAGTTAGTCAGTCAGTCAGTCAGCCAGTCAGTCAGTCAGTCAGTCAGTCAGTCAGTCAGTCAGCCAGTCAGTCAGTCAGTCAGTCAGTCAGTCAGTGAATTAGTCTGTGAATCAATTAGTCAGTGAATCAGTCGGTCAGCCAGTTAGTCAGTCAGTCAGTCGGTGAATCAGTTAGTCGGTCAGTCAGTCAGTCAGTCAATAAGTTAGTCAATTGGAAGGAATGGCTAACGCTCGTTTCGAAGGGCTAACGCTCGAAACGCCGGCTTCTCAGATCTTTACGGTGGCCAATTTACGTTATCAACTCAGTTGATGACACCAAGTAACCCCGTTATACTCTCCCACGGACGCAGCACCACAGTTTCTTTGAAAAATTACCCCTTTATGCAATCGGTCTGCCAGTCAGTCAGTGAACCAGTCAGCTACTTAGGGCGTTAGTCGGCCAGAAAATCGGTCACCGGGTAAGCCAAAAAAGCAATCTGTTGGTTAGTCGGTGAGCCTGTCAGGCCGTCAATCGGTTAACTGGCACTGTCATCCAAATTGTCATTCAGACAGTCAGTAAGTCAGGCAGCCAGTTAGACTGTAAGTCAGCCAGTACATCGGCCGGATAATCGTCCGCACCTTGTTCACTCAATAACTCTGCACACAGAAATGAGAGGCATAACATTTCTTCCAAAGCTTTATTTTCACGCCTTAAATGCAGTGTCGTAAAAGCTTGTCACAGTTCGAAACACAGCGACACTAAAAACTGCGTGCAACGTATCAAACTAATACATTTGATCTTACCTTAAACAAATAAAGGTACAAATTTATACTGAAACGATTAACTATAATTGAAATACCGAATATATTCTATGATACAAATAATTACACACTCGAGTAAAATATTATCATCATTTCGTTTCCACAGCATGTACACTAAACATCGCGTTCAATTCTTTGACTGTAGTCCAATCACACGGACTTTAGACGCAGGGGTACAAAATTATACGCACAGCCTCGACAGGATGACCAATACCAGACAACTCACCAGTGGTGCGAATGTCCCGGACTAATTAAAAAGTGAAGTAAAACAAAACCAAAGTGATTCCGAATTACTCTGGACACTCCCTACGGTGGCCAATTTACGTTATCAACTCCGTTGATGACACTAAGTTACTCCGTTATACTCTCCCACCGACGCAGCACCACAGTTTCTTTAGAACACGAAATTCGTTTAAAACGCACACGTTGATTAGTAGTGAAATGACGCAATACAAATGGTAATGCTATGGTGTTGTTATTCATTCAGGTTGGGAAGTGTTTCAGTAAAAAATGTGATTATACTCGGAAGCCTGCATCAATTTCAGTTTTCAACGTGGTCGGTTTTCCAACCAAAGAAATACATACATTTTACGGAATTCACCAAAATTGGGCTGCTGTTCAGAAATAAAACAATGGCCTCAAATGAGTATTAAATAAGATTCTCCTCTAAATTAAATTAAATAAACCCCCGGACGCTTCTTAGAACGTTTTAAGTATTACGAGTGTCACATTTCGTATGACAAAACTTTACGAAGAGTTATATTTCACAACACGTTTGTAAGAAAGCTCAAGTGTCTTCCGCTAAAGACACCACGTGACCACTAACATCCGGGTCTCTTTGCTCTGTTGTGATTAATCCTTGAAGAAGGATCTTGTATTGGGTTGTTACGTCACTCTTTACTGTCAACTGTAATAACAAAAAAGTCGGACGAGAAAGGGTTAGTTTGCAACATATCACCATTCCCGGTTCTTGTCAAGGATATTATGAATGGTTACGATTGGAATGAATGTTGCAATGAATGGTTACGATTTTACGATTACGAAAACTCCAGCGTTCACCGGATGCTAGAGTTTGCGGGGGAGGGGGGGGGGGGGAAGTAGGGTGAAGGGAAAACCATCGTTCTATTGATTGCTTAAATCCCTTTGGTGGAAATAAAATGCTTTTCTTGAAAATAGCGCCCCAATGTTAAAAGGGTGATTATATATCTAATTCCCTTGAGGGTGCTGAACAACGTAACTGTTCTCCCGTCTCATTCCTTTGTCCTATGCCTGACTAAGATGTCTCTCGCTCAACCTGTATATCAGTAACCCGAAGAATTGACTGCTCAAAGTAAAAGCATTTTATGGAGTACCTGACCATTCAAACTCGCAGCGAAAAAACTATATTTCGTAATACAAAAACCTCGCGATTTTGCGAAAATGGTGTGTTTTGAATCACTTTCACCTCATGTTTTTTGAGTAAGACATAACCGGGAAGAACAAGCGAACGTTTAAGACAATGAATGTAACCAAAACTAAAAAGATCACACAATAAACTTACCATAGTACTGGTATTAACAGGTTCATTAGGCTGTGACAAACAGAAAGGAAATTATACCGTTAACCGGAAAAGTAGCAGAGATTTCAATAACTTTTTCCATAAACGGCAGGTGTAATAGGCAGCTGTGCCGCAAGGCGAAACCCCGACACGAGACCCTTCTCGCAGGCTCAATAAACTGGAATGCGGTTCGAAAAGTGTGGGTTTGAGTTCTGGTCTAGCTGTTTATGTTGTATTTTAAGGCAAGATACCAGACTTTCACAATGGTTCTGTCTACCCAGGGGGTATGGGTGGGAACCCAGTGAAGAGCTGAGGGAGGGGAGGAATGTGGTACCTTCAATGAAGTTGCATCTTATTCAAAGGGAGTGGTAATACCCCAGTCGTAGTCTTCATCAGCATACGTTCAAGTTGCGTGGACAACTTGGCGTGTTAGAGAGACTTACATTTTTTTATCATCAAATGTGTTCAGGCTGTGTTGTTACTTTTTTAAAGAGGTGAGGCTTTTAGACTTGGCAGTCATTCTACGTCTCCCTCTTGGGACCGCTTCATTTGGAATGGACTCTTATCTATCGACGACCATTTAATGTCCCCGGGAATAAAAATATTTCTTTTTCCTCAAGCAAACTTGTTTTAGCTGTGAAGCTAGACGTGCAGGAACAGGACGTTTTATACTCAGGACCAAAAATGGTCGCCTCACTCGAAAGGGTTATTTACCGAATACACTACGCTGGAGATATTACAATTAGTGAAAGCACGAAGGTCTTGATATGAAATGACTTCTACGTTCTCATGTAATAACATTCATTTTTCCAAAAAAAAAGTTTGTACCACACCTTAATTTGAAACGGATAGGCTTTCAGAAATAAAAAAGGCACATGACTATTTGAAGCAAGAGATAATCTTCCTCAAAAGACGACGTGCCTCTTTAAAAGAGGAAATGAAACTCAAGTGAAGAATACTTACATCATGCCCAGCTGGCGGTTGCCATCGAAACACAATGTTCTTTTTCACGCCAATGTCAACTCCCGCCTTAAGTAGCATAAATAAAACAATGCATAAATAAATAAATAAATAAGATATAAACAGCTAGCCAGACCTTCGTAGAACAAAATTAAATACGGCAACGCTCATAATCAGAAAAAAAAAACTAAATATTACCAAATAAGGGGCGAAAAATAATTGTCAATCATGTAGAGTAATTTGTGCGAGAGTGGTACTGAAAACGACTGTTCTCAGGGACAGTGACGTAACAAAAACAACAAACAAACCTTTTGAGGCTCAAAGGAGAATCCCAGTTCGTTAGCTTCTTTGGGATTGTCGAAATAAAAGTCACTTGACTGAACGGAAAACAAACACAAAGATTAGTATTTAAAAAAATGTTACGGTTTTCTATGGCGTATTAAAGGATGAAGTTTTCATGTACCTTTTTAGTTTGTATACTGGACTTAATACAGCCAATTTCCACGGCTCTTTCCACAGCCTCATATCCATCAGGAGTTGATACGCTCTTCATTGTTAGCAGAACTGTTTTCTGGATTGCTTTTCCCTCTGAAAAAAAAATTGTAGCAATGATGTTGATGTTAAAAGTGCGCAATTCATGTCTGCATACATTCAAATGCACTTAACAACCCTGCGAGGTGGCTCTTATCAACAAGGGCGGGCTGAGCCTATATCTTAACCCTTCGACCCATAAGAGTGACTGGAATCTAGCTTCTCCTTACAATATCACCCCTGAAACACACATTAAGGTCATGAGAATAAAGGAAATGATCACCAGGTAAAAAAGTTCTTGATTGTTAAACAAATTCTCCTTGTCAGCACCTCAGGAAATGTATAGAGAACAGTAATAAGAATATGCACACTGATGTTAGGACGTAAAAGGTTAATGTATGCACGCATAAAGCGCGCGCAGGTCTTGGGTGCTTTAGGATGTTGGTGTAAAACACCAAGACCTTTACGAGCAAAGTCTAACCAACCTTCGAAAACCTTCACTTCAAGAGCTCGGAATCCCCAAACCCAACATTTGTCAAACCTGACAACTGGCTGTTTCTGAATCCGACATATCACAGGCCCGACACTTGACCGAATCTTACAGTTTTCGAGTTCGGCAATCCCCGAACCTGAAACTCTCAAGAACAAAGGGTGCGAGGCAATTATTGATTACCTGCAGTTCGTAATAGATGAAGGAGAGCAACGGCACAAGGGAAATTTGATCTGATCAGCCAAGAACCACTTCCACCATAAAATGTAAAATACTCAAGAAAAATACTACTGCAAAATTTCTGCTTCTAGAACCCTGACCTTCCTCCTCCTCCTCCTCCACTTCCGCTCGTAACGACTCAGCTCTCGGCATCAACTCGTCCCAGCCCCTCAGGTACACGATATTTGGCCAGGCGCGGCCCAGTAGTTGAACAGAATAGGGCTGTTCCTGAAGTATGAACATCAAAAAGATACGGATTAAGACCATAGCAAGTTGTATTTGTCGTACAGTAGTTATAAGAACGTAACGAGGATAAGTGTAAATGTAGTAGGATATACACTGTGCCAATGATTTGCGTGTTATCTTCCAGTTTGGAAAAATCCTCTTTGAGAAGTGACCAACGTGACTATGTCTTCTTTATGTGCAAACACTCAACCCCCGCGAAGCCTCTCGACTTCATTCAAGATCAACACAGCGGTCAAACGTGGGGTATGCACGAGGAGAGAAATTTTGGCCCGCGCGCGCGCCAATTTCTCGCTTAGAATTTCAAAGAAAATATAAGAAACAAACGCTGTCTCGCAAAAAAAGCGGAAGAAAATCGAACCATCAATAGACATCTGTAAAAGGAAACAAAAGTGGAGGAAAGGACACCTCAAGACTTTTCGCACACAAGCACGAGTTTCTTGTTGATTTACTAATCTGTTTTGAGCTTTACCGAAAAAGTTGTACGTTACTACGCATTGTGTGGTTGCTTGTAACTGATGTGAGACAACTTGATGTTGATAGCCTGAAAGCACGTCACCTAGTCATTACAACATTCGCACATGCGCAGACGTTTCCAAGATCACAATCTAGTCTTACTCACCCCGTTGTTTATCTCCACGGAGACTTCATCGGCGTAAAGCTGACTTGGGTGATCCGGGTTGAAAGAGATAGTGATCTCTTTAGACTCGCCTGTAACGTATAAAAATCTTACATGGGTCAAAAAAATTCAGTTAAAAGCCAGCGATGTGATGATGTTAATTATTCAGCTTGGTGAAATGTTCACATTTTATTCGTGTACCTGGGCCGATCACACCTTGAGCAGGAACACAGTCAAATACAGCCATCCCATTGTAATTCGACGGACCTGGCAGAAAAGAAAAGAAAATTTTACAAACGTATGATTGACATTAGAATTGAAACAAGTTTTGACTACAGGTGGAAGGAGTGACACAAACGTAACATCGCCTTTTCGCGAACAATCCTTTATATTGCTAAGTAAACAGTTTCCTCCACTAAGTATGACTGAAACAGTAAACTCGATTAAAGTAAAGAAGCATCCTTTCTTAACAGCGTACATGACTTTATGGGGACTGTTTTGGAGTGTATTTGAAAGCGTTTACAGTAACTATATTCCGGCAGGGGTAGTTTACAAGCTTTCTCAGCTCTAAGTTTCCTTTCTTTACCTTTTAATGCACATGCGACTGAACTGCTGGAAATGGACTAATTAGAGAAAGGTGTTCATTGTCTTTTCACGAGCGTGGGACGAAGAAAAAAAATTCTGAGTCCCGATGAGGAATCGAACCACAGACCTTCGGATTCTGCCCTCCGATGCTCTAACACTGAACCATTAAGACTCTATGGTAAGCCAGGCTTTTACAAAAATTCCCACCAAATCCTAAGGTCTGAAGCCCTATGCCTCATGGCGACTCAGAATTTTTTCTTTGTCCTACGCCTGTGACAAGACAAAAGAATATCTTTCTCGTCTTTTTCTACTTCCTTACTGATCTCAAAATGTACCATCTTTTTTACTCTGTAATAGATCAGCTGTTTCACTAGCACATCGACGCAGCACATCAATTTTTTTACAAATACCAGAAAAAAAAATATTTCACAGCATCAAAGATAGCAACAGCAGTAAAAACCGTAACTGGTAGCTTCCGCAATATCAATCTCACCTAACGCGTGCTGTTGAGTTTCTGGCATCTCGCTAAACGGCGGAAGGAACCTAGGTAACACTTGCGCTCGGCTGTGACGTAATGGAGATAAGCTGTCAAGCTTCAGTGAATAGGTGATTGACAGCTCTGAAGTGTTAGATATCTGCAAGAAGAAATAGCCGTCAAAATCAGGAGTTATTCTAAAAATTGGCTGAAGAGGGTCCAGTTGAGCCTTTTCTTTAGTTTTAGGCCCTTTTTCAGAGAGGGGGCTCAAGATATAGGGTTTTCCAAAGGGTGATTGAACTTATTTGTATAGTCTAGTCAGTGAGAAAGTTAAAGGTATGGAAACACAAACAGAACGAGGTCATGAAGTTAAAGTGAATTTTATGCAACAAGAGTCATAACAATGTTGCTGTCAGGTATGTTTTCGAATACTGAGTTTCAAAAAATGGTTCTTTGAAACCTTGCGTACGTAACTTTTATGCGGCATTGTTTTTGCGATTTGCAGCAATCACGCAAAGCCGCGTTCTAGAATAAACTCTGCAAAATGGGTTACGACGAAAAATACTGTAGCTGTGTTCGATGACGTTTCCAGGAACAAATAAGAAAAATAGCAAGGGAAAGCCGTTAGAATTGCCACGTTATATTCATGCCAACGCAGAGAAACAACCTCATACTGAGACACGACGACGTCCTCTCGTTCCCGCTTATCTTTATTCTTTGTCATTGAAACGGGCGATGACAGATTAAATGGGAATGAGGTCTGGCTACCTTATTATACAATGATCCCACAAAATCACGAAAAAAAGTATCACGGGTGAGAAGTCGACTCAGCAGACTGTTTTAGAAACCAAACGTGATCGCAAATCGGTTTGCTTAGATACATTTTTGCTTGAACCAACAGGAAAATAAATCCACTCATCCCAATAAGACATATTTCGCTCTAAAAGTTACATTTACTACATTACTCCGCCACGCTTATTCAGCCCCAGTACTTGCGTCCTAAATCAATAGTCTATTTGGGTTAGAGCACGTAATGCCCAAGAACACAACATAGCGATTTCGCCCCGGACTCTAAAAGAGACCTCTTGATAAGTGCACGATAACCAGATATCAAGTGATCGCATCTCCCATCACAGGTACAACTGCAAATTTATCAGCACATAAACCCTCCTGATACTTTGGAGGGGGTAAGGGGAGAAAAACTCTCTAAAAATATTTTATCTCATCAATACATTCTTCCTTTTTCTTACCTTAAAACTGGACGAGATCGTGTCACCAACTAGAGCGTCTCCTAAGTCCAGCAGACCATCCTCCACTGACAGAGAGATCACAGGTTGAACCCCCCTGCCCTTCAGCCTGAGGTATAGTGTATTCCGGGGGCACCGTACTTCTAAGACCTCATGGAACTAAGTATCGACGGAAAAGACAAGGCTCGATTAGAACAGTGCCCTTATCAAATAAGGGAACGTTGGCTTACGTGAAAAAATGCACTGCAAAATTGTCTCGACAAAGGTTGTAAGAGTTAACTTACGTGCGAATAGAAACAGCTTATCTCGAACCTCTAAGGCCACGAAGCAGGGCCCAAATTTCATTGAATTTACATCCACACAACAGTAAGAACAATTGGAATCTTGTTTCCAGAGTCCTAATTCCATTTTCCAGCGGTCGAGAAGAAGAAATGTGGTCTCATCGAAACAGAGGCCGCATTTGACCAGCTGTCTTAAAACGGTTTCTTTCTTAGTAATTTTGCTGGGTAACGCTGTTTTATGTTAACTTGATTTTATACTCGTTTAGTGGTAACTACACAATAAAAGGTTATAGAGAAAGATGGTTTTTTAACAGGTTATGTTGTCACGTTTAAAGCATCTAAACATAAAAAAAACATCAAAAAAGTCAAACACGAAAGGAAAATTCATCAGAAATTCAGCACGAAGACGATCGAAGCTTGACATCAAAACTTTACGAACAACATTCACCAATAAACTATGGGAACAAAGCCTTCAAACTCTATGGTCAGTCCCTCGGAGACTCTCCCTGAAGCCAATAGTTGAATGATAAATTTTAAAACTTCAAAATGAGGCTATTCTACCATGATAACTGGTTATCTGTGGTTAGAAATGACGAAGATTAACATGAATTGCAAATAAAAAACGCTCTTGGTTCTTCAAATCCTGATATTCATGTTCTTTCTCTAGTTTCACCCCACAAAGTCGAAATCTTACCTCTTTGGGAGCGTTAGGACCGAACGACACAATCACGGTATGAGTCGCTTGGGGATCCAAGGTCCTTAATGCGTTCAACATCTGAAAAGGACCGTGAGGATCTAGTAACGAGGAGCTCAACTGAAAAGCGGAACATAAACAAGTCAGTATAGAATTAAACAAATATTTTAAAAAAATGAAGACTTCTTAAAGAGCACAGAGAACAAGCCCAGACAAGAAACACAGCGTTAAAACTCTTAACATCCATTACGTAGCTAGGAAGCAAACTCCATAGACTCTGTGGTCAGTTCCCTAGAGACTCTTCCTGAAGCTGAAAGTTTACTGCTGAATTTTGATACCAATTCGGGCTATTCTACCATGATTAATGGTAGCATTACTTTGTAGCATTTGTCAGTGTTTCTCACCTTTATTGGTTCGTCAGAAATATTTTGAATGGTGAAACTTTTAATCTCCGATCGACCTTTGTAAAACACAAACAAGCAAGGAGAGAAATATAAGAAACAATACAACTATTACAAACAAAAATTAAATCAAAAGGTCTTCAAAGTTTTGGCGTCAAGTTACGAACTGTAACACCGCTCACAACGTATAAAGGATCACTAAAAAAAAAAAAACGACATTATTATTGTGAAACTTTTCCAATTACAGGTTCTTTGTTTTGATCCTTTAAATTGATCAACATTTAACTTCTCCCTATAATATCCATACATAACCCAGCAAACAGGTAATGAGAATACTCAAACTTATCAGGTGGAAGTTGTCATCTTGATCTGACAAAAAATTCTTGTGACTACTTTACTAGGAAATGTGTATTAGCCAGAGGGGAGAATTAACAATCAGATCTTGGGAGTTAAAGTTAACGTGGACAACAGAATAACGCTGATGGATAGCTGACTGATGAAAAAATAAAGTTTCTGTAGAAGAAAATTCTTTCCCTTGACGCAACTCACGAGGACAACAATATATTTTTTATCTTACCAAGGGACACATTTGCAAAGTCCACAACAGATCTTCCACTGTCAGATACGACCACCAAATGGGGCCGGACGGCCGGGCAGTGAACCTCTAGATAGATCGTGTTGTGAACACTGTGAAAGAAACAGAGAGAAACGATGTTAATATTTACGCACGAACATCCAAGCAGAAAATAATATTCACAGTTGAAGATCAGGTTTACGCCTGCGACACCAATAAAATGTTTTCCAACCACACCAATGCCTTTGTGAGGTTTTTCACAAATTTCACTGTTCGCATTAGTCGGGTAAATTGGCACTGATGTCCTGGATCGAAATAAAGTTTGGTTGCTTCGAACTTTGTTATGCCCGAGTATTTGACAAAATCATAAGTGTTTCGGTGATATTTTCTTCATGAGGACAATTTTTGATGCTTGTAGGAACGAAAATGCATCTCGTCAACGCCTTATCTTGGAGATATCTCTAAACTGAGCCAAGAAGCGGTGAATAGCTTGAGAAAACGGCGCAGTAGTTAATGCATTGTAGAAGACTCGACCAAGATACCTTTAAACGAAATTCTAAATGGCTTAAGGGAAGTTCTACCCCCTATATTTCTTAACAAATTTGTGACAGCGTTAATGCAGCTCAAGGGCATCTGCTAAAATCTCTCCTGGAAAATCTCACCTGCATGACAAAGAGTTAGGCTCAGTACATCGCCCAGGGGCTACGAAGCAGGGAACTAAGTATCTGGAGAACGCATTCTGATAAGTCCTGAGTAAAGCCAAGTGGGCTGACTCGTATTCATTGGACCTGGAAGACAACAAAAAACAATTTTTTTAAACTTATTTAAACATCTTCATCCACCTACTTTTACTCTTTCGGCTTTATTGACTCTTGCGGTAATAAGATGCTCATAACACAGCCTACATTCGCAGGCATGGGACACCTAATTGGAACACCTCTTGCTCCTGCTCTCCCTTAAATCAACCGTTAGTTTTTCGTCATCCATGCTAACGAAGGGCTAACGCTCGAAACGTCAGCTTTAGGAACTGTTTATTATGGGAAGTTTACATTATCAACTCAGTTGATGAAATCAAATTATCTTGTAACACCCCCCGCCCGTCCCCCCACAAATGACACAGCACCACAGTTTCTTTAGAAACTGTCCCCTTAATTCATATGTAGTTTAATGTTCTTTGGGCTGGGTATTTGCCCTTCTGATACGGAATTTAAGTGTAAGTTCTTGAACACCCACCCGTCAATTACATCAGCGACAGTGAAAGTTTTGGTTGGAGTCTTTGTGGTAGCGGCGAGGTTGGTGTTGCTCGGCGTATTTCCTCGCTTTGGTGATGCCTTGGCACTCTTTCCAGCCTGAGCTTTACCACCTTTCTTTTTCTGTTATAGCAACGAAAAGAAGAAACGAAACAATCAAGCCGAAAGCTACCCAGTTTAACTTACGTCTGCGGGACATCCTCCGCCTCTTTAAAAGTATTCCTTCAATGACAGCCTCAGATACAAAGGTTATAGAAGAATTTTTTTCAGTGGCTACAAAAGTTGCGCACTTTGAATGGAGGCCTTCCCCACGTAAAGAATCATCAATATCTAAATACGCAATGGAGAACCAAAGAACTCCACACAGCTGGATGTTAACCTGGAGCACAAAGTATACCTACTTCCCTTTGGACAGGATGCTAGTGCATAGCAGGTTACTCCCCGAATTTCGCCAATTTTCCAAATACTTTGCCGATTCCCTTTTACATTCCGCCCTACGCAAAATTCAATCCAACCTTAATGTAAATGACTGCACGGTTGATACGAAAAAGCATTCATTGTTTGTCGCGAGCAACGACCTCAAGAGCGAAAAGTTACCAACAAGGACCCTTACCTGTCCTGTATTTTGCTCTTGAGGCTTCTCTGGAGGTGACGCTAGTTCCAGTCTCTTCCTTTCAGCCTCAGCTTCTCTTTCCATCATACGCACGGCCTCTTGTCGCACCATGTCTGGATCCATACGAGGACTGAAGGTCACATGAACAAGGCAGCGCTGAAACAATAACGGACTTAAGTGATCAAACAGAAAGTGAAAAAAAGGCGACTTGGCAGCTGCAGTCTAACAATCACAGTTCAACAAGAGATTAGGCAAATGCAGTGCGACTTAATTTACTGTAAATGCATACTAATGCATTACACGTCTGTCGAAAACCTCTCCGCAACAATGCCTTTTTGTCCGAGGCATCATCAATAGCACTGATGGCAATGTAAAGTTCTCACGTTATCCTTTGTACTTATAGTTAATAACCAAGATCACCTCGTGCAGCAATTGTGGTTAAATTCAACAAGAAGTTGGGACGTTAGGGAAAATCTAGCCTGAGCAAAATCGCTATGCGGAGGGTACCAAGAGTCTCGGATCATAGAGCTTTCTTCTAGACGTCAAAAGTATCTTCTTTTATGCGTAACTCCAACTCTAGCTCTAACTCCAACTTCAACTACTTTCGACTACGACTCCAACTACCTCTGATTAACAATTATTTGCCGAGGGAGAAGTGAATATTGTTGAATAATCCTCGCGACGAAGTGTCTTTTCGTGTCCTTCAGTGTATTTTAAACAGCGTATCGAGGGGAAGAGAAGCGAGAGCTGAGGGTAAAAAGGTTGAAATCCTATAAACAAGAAATAACTTTAAACGTACCTCTCCCGCGTTGACAGTGCCTACAGCTGGGGACACAGTCAGGGGCGCATCAGCAGGGACCATAAATTCGAATGACGTGGGGCCCACCTCTACAATGGGTCCGGAGCCAATTCTGGGCACTGGATGGGTGAATTCATTTGCGCTGGTGTGCGAGTTGATGACTTCAATGTGAGCCGCGCATGTATCAGAGACAGCTGTGGCTTTCATTTTGATCACAGAGTGAGAGAGTTCCAGTGGAGGAAGGACGCCCACTGCTCTACAGTGAAGTTTGAACTCGCGGCCAATGCCAGTCTTACAAGTGAGATCAAACTCATATTCCTACAAGAGAGAGAAAAGAACGGTTTTGACCCTGTAAGAATAGGAATCTTACTAAAATAAATTCTTGTTACCAAATGAATATCCTTAACTACTGACTTTGGCAAAGAAAGCTTGTCAAAATTATATTTAGTAAATTATATCTTGATCTACGGATGATATTCAGTAGAGAAATAACCTCGCAAGTGAGCTTCAATCAAAGGAACTGCAGAAATGAACTTTGTAGCTTTTATACGTGGATCATTTCTTAACTATCAAACGTGTCAAAGAAAATTTGTCGGGGTACAATTTTTCATCGATATCTGCGCTAGGAAATTTTCGTCCTTGATAAGTCATTGACATGCAAGTGACCCAATTAGATGAAAACTTGTCGTATGTATCCAGTTACACTTCCATGGGTAAAATTGTAACGTGAAAACTTATCAAAGACAATTGGCTAGTACATACACGGCTTGGCGCATTTCGATTGAGTAAAAACAGCCGATCCGAACAAAGAAAAGTATTAGTAGGGGCCAACGAGAAGGAAAACGCAAAGTGACCAAGTCACAAGTGGTTTTAGATTTGCTTCTGATCAGTTGATAGAGTCGCGGGAGTTTGTTCAAACCTAAAACAGGGCGAAGAAAAGCAAAATCAACATAATCTCGGATCATTTTAGACACTTAATTGAAACTCACTCTCACCGCTGACCGTTCTATTACATGACTCACTTTAGCTTTTTTGGCGTTGAACATGATGTCCACATCAAAGCTCTCCAATGGCAGCAGGGTACCGAATCCATCATTAGGCTGAACATCAACCGTCTGAAGTATTAAAAATTACAAAGCTATGAGATATCGGCGCAGAATACTGGGCATTAATGTTTAAGAAAAGGAATGATACCAGGAGTTTTAATTTAAGATGACAATCCGAAATCTCTGCGACAGAGGTTTAAAGTTAGGATCACACTTCAAAATCTCTGAAAAATCTTAAGCTCTGACGCACATCGGTGATTGCAAATAAGTTGATTTTCTTTCATAAGGATGCACTGTTAGGCAATAGTCTTCCTTGAACTAAATTTAAATTCTAATAAGTTTTGAAGTTTTCCGTATTCCTAAGTGCAGTCGCAACAGAACAGATGAAAACACTACTCACATCAGGAACTCCACAAAATCCGAATTGTTGAGGTAATACAGACTTGTTAGTTAAAGTCACTGTTCGTCTCACTGACTCCAGCACTGTGCAGAAACCAAAGTCAATCGCTTGAACGTTGAACTCGATATCTGATGACGTCACTATCGCTCTTACTGTGAACGGAACTGGCCGCGTCTTACAAATGAAAAAAGAAAGAAGCTATTTAAGCGCACAGCGACACGAAATCTCACAAGAGAGGCTAACATTGTCACACGCACGCGTACATCAACTACAAAAAAGTACAAAATGTCACGAAACGTCGCATCCACTGCGAAGAGTTGCAAATCATGTTATTTCTGTACACATTACAGAAGAAAAGCTCAGTGGAGGAGTATCACCCACAAGTGCACGCGATCTGTCACGAACCTTGCACAAAAGTACAAGATCACCACATGTAACATACAACACACAGAAAAGAAATCCCATAGCAGCGGTTTTAAAAACTCTTTTCATAAGCAACTGTCGTTATTGTAATTGACGGCTATGCTCGGTTAACCCTTTAACTCCCAAGATCTCATTAGTAATTCTCCTTACTGTCTGCCATACAATTCTTGTGATGTTAGTTTGGAGAATTTGGAATTGGATCAACCAATAATCCCCTGATTGATATTTTTCTTCATTCTCATTACTTGTTTGCTTGATATTGTACTGATAGAGTAGGGAGAAATTTTGTTTAGGTCACTAGTGAGACTTAAAAGGTTTAGGGGCCGTAAGGCAAAACCAAAACACGAAAGCCTGCTCGTAAGCTAAACAGACGGCGGTATGAGGCCTTATAGGTGGCAGTAGACCGCTTGCAACCGGATGTTATTGAAATCTGTGCCATTGCCCAAGCATGAAAAACGAAAATCAAAATTTTCTGTCACAGATTACTTTTTCTTGGCTGTTAATTTACCAAGACCAAAGCGAAGGCTGAAGTAAATAAGAAATTAGTTAATTAGAGAGTGCGGAGTAAACTAACCTGATCTGCGACACGTACGACCATAGGTGCCTCAAGCAGTCTGCTCTCTCCGTCAAAGTATGTGGGACAGTCATCTGGCAGAGTTTGTCTAAAACACAATCAGGCATATAATGGTCAACAACCTCTTACAACTAACCACAAAGCAGTGCAGGCTAAATAAATTATGGGAAAAGAAAAGCAAAGAAATCACAAGTAAAAAATTAGTAGAAAATTTCAGTTTGCAGCATAATTTGTTGTGCCTATGGTCAAAGTTGTGGCTCTTGTCAAGGTTCACATGGCACTGAAGGTAACTCCCTCTTACCTTGGAAGGAACTTGAGCTGCGCAGAGAACTGGGACTCAGCTTGTATGTAAGCTGTCTTGGGAAGCAGTTCCAAGTGATTCCTCAATTCTTTACAAACTTCAAACTTCAGTCTGAGAGCTGAAGTGGCTCTATTGTTGACAAGTATTGCATCTTGATATAGCCGGTCGTACATGCACATCTTTAAGTCGACGACCTGATGAAGGAGGAGGTCGATTGATCGAAAAATATTCAGGCAATTCTGGCAGAGAACTGTATTTTTTTTAAGGAAAAATTCCACCCAGGCTCAGCTATGAAGAATGTTTCTAACTAACCCTAAAATTTCTGATAAATATCAGAAATATAAATAAATATCGAAACCTCTTAACCCTTTGAATCCTAAGAGTGACTAGCATCTAATTTCTCCTTACAATATCATCCCTCAAAAACACACATGAAGGTCACGAGAGTAAAGGAAATGATCACCAACTGAAGAAGCTCTTGATTATTAGACAAATTCTCCTTGTCTGCACCTTAGGAGACGTATGGAGAACAGTATTAAGAATATGCATACTGATGTTAGGGTGAAAAGGGTTGATATCCCGAACAACATCCAGAAATTTGTGGGAGAAAAATGACGCGTTACCTCTCTCTCCACCCAGACAGGAACATCGATTCCCGTTCCTCGAGCTCGGATCACTATCTGCAGACGAACAAAAATAGAAAAAAAATAATACATCCGTAACAGTGGCCTATTAGTATTAACAGGGTACTGTCTCAGTTGGAACATCCAAAGGGACACAAACTTTGCTCCCGACAGAAAAAAAAAGGCTGTTCTCAAGGCCTTTGTCACTATTTTCAACTCCATTCAGGGGACACTTTTACTAGTCAAGGGAGGTATCCCCTGAATGGAGGTTCCACTGAAGAAAGAAGTTCGAAAGCATCATTTTAATTGGGGCGACAACACAGGTATCTACCCTATGACGGTGCAGTTTTGTCAGGATAACTATAGTCAGTAAATGAATTCTGAATTGAACGAACTGCCGCTTTTACAAGGAGTCTAAAGTAGTCAATAGTTTATGAGCCCCATTACAAGCCTTTTGAGCATCGATAAACATACGTAAATCATTAACTTTGGAAAAGCTTAATCGCTAAGTAATTTCCTTTCATCAGGCAGAATGAAACCGAGCAACTTTTCAACCTAAGAGGACGGTGTTACACACAAAGCTTTCACTTACTGGGGGTGAGAGAGGATCTGAAAAGGATATCTCAAACTCGGCGAGGGCATTGCCTGACTTGGTAGGATTAAATACCACTTCCACCTGGACTAAAGAAAACGGTGCAATTTCTCCAGAAGAAACCTGTTGATAGAAGAAAAAGAAAATATATAGCTAAACTACGAAGACACATAAACTAAACCTAGTTGGCATACTTGGTCTAGGATCATAGCTGTGAATCTTAAAATCACCCTTACGCAAACAACTCCAAGATATATAAGTTGTCGTGACAGCACTGGAGGAAATACATATATATTCACCTTTCCGACTCTGAGACCTTCTAATATAGAGGTTTCTGTAGGGATTGATGAGATAGTCTGAGGTGCTGCTGAGGTCAGATCAACTGATATATGAAAGAAGAAAATATATAGTCAAAACAGATATGCTGGTCATGAGTTTTGGTATTTAATTGATAAACTACACCACAAACCATCTAGCTGGTCTCCAGTCTCTTCTGCTGGGGCGAGAACTTCGCCTTCAGTAGTTGCCAATCCCTTCTCGAACTTAACAGCACTACCAGATCTGGGCTCTAGGGCCTTCTCCGGGCTTTCGCCCTCTGTAAAGAACAACAAAAGTTATAAAAAACAGAAACAAACAAGTGACACCAGACGTGTCTCTGCTACAAGAGCAACGTTTTTTTCGATACCGAGCCGTATCAAAGAGATTCTAGCACCTCTATCGTTTGTTGTAAACGTTAACGAAGAGGACTTTTCAACGAAATTGTCACGACAAACTTAGTTTATTAAGATTTTCCATAACCCTTATACAATCAATTTCCTTGGTAGTGTCTATGTCGAATCATCTATAACAGTGGCACTGTCGTGAGCTCAAAGTACATTTTGCCACACGTTTTGTTTTCTCTCGGCATAAAAACAAAAGTGATCTGATATAAACGTCGACATACGACTTGGGCCGGACTACCTTGTTGAGCTGGTTCACTAGGAATTTCTGTTACACCAGCCCCTTGAGGTTCTTTTGCGTCTTCTGCCATCCCCTCAGGGGGAACCTGTAGCTCCGTCGGGTTGGAGTCTTGCTGAGTCACATTTACGTCCGTTACAGTCTAGGAGACAGTTGGGGAATATTACATGAGACTTGTATAAATCGTCTAATGATAAACAAAAACTGCAAATTTACGTTAAATTTCATTACAAAATTGGCCCTCTGAGTCTGTATGGCTGTCAGGTTTCGACAACATAATACCATTGATCGAAAGACGATACAAAAACACTATCAAATGATGAAAAATTGCCGTACAATTCATTTTTGTGTTGCGCCATCCTCTACACAGACAGTCAGTCTCACCAACTAAAACAAGGGGGGTAGGTTTCTAAAGAAACTGTGGTGCTGTGTCAGTGGCGGAGGGTAGAGGGTATTACAAGATAATTCAGTTTTATAAACTGAGTTGATAATGTAAATCGGCCACTGGAAAGAGTTTCTAAAGCTAAAGTTTTGAGCGTTCGCCTTTCTTCGACGAAGAACTAAAGCTCGAAACTTCAGCTTAAGAAACTCTTTAGGTTGGTCAATTTACATCATCAACTCAGTTGATAAAACCAAATTATCTTTACTGAAACAAAAGAGTTCCACATACCATTCCGCCGATAGAACTCAGCTCTGAAGAGGAGAGCGATCTCGCCAAGCCTGCGAAAAAAGAAGAGCAGAATAATTTCTCTTCCTTTCTCACTATCACGTAGTTAGAAAATTGTCAAAAAATTTCAGTAATATCATTTTTTTTAAGCTTTGACACGTTCCAAAAACTCCCATCCCTTTCAGCATAAGCGGGGATTTAGGCTGATTAGAATATGTACAGGATTTTCAGTAATAGCACATTTTAAAAGACAAAGCAGACGGGATGCCATTTGTCACGTTAGTGTTGCGCGTTCTCTTTGTTTGGTGCTTGACTGTTACGTTAGTAATGCGCGCTCTCTTTAATTGTTTCTTAGGTTAGTGATGCAAGCTTTCTTTTTTAGTGTTTGACTGTCATGTTAGTTACAAGTGCTCTCTGTTGAGTGTCTGACTGTTACGTTAGGAATGCGCGCTACCTTTGTTTTGTGTTTGATTCTTAGGTTAGCAATGCCCGCTTTCTTTTTTCAGTGCTTGGCTGTTATGTTAGCGATGCGCGCTCTCTTTTTTTAGTATTTGATTGTTACGTTAGTTAAACGCGCTCTCTGTTGAGTGTCTGATTGTTATGTTTGTGATGCGAGCTCTTTTTGTTTAGTGTTTGATTGTTACGTTAGTAAGGCGCGCACTCGTTGCTAAGTGTTTGACTGTTACGTTTGTGATGCGCACTTTCTTTGTTAAGTGTTTTATTGTTAGATTAGTGACACGCCCTCTTTGTTACGTGTCTGATAGTTACGTTAGTGATACGCTTTCTCTTGTTTCGTTTTTTGATTGTTACGTCAGTGATGCACGCTCTCTTTGTTTAGTGTTTAACTGTTACGTTAGTAATTCGTGCACTCTCCTGAATTTTTTTCAGGCCTTATTTTCTCTACTGCCTAAGTAGTGCACATCACTGCGAAGATCACTTTCATTCATGTCGTGCACTCTTTGTTTGGTGTTTGACTCTTACGATAGTGTTGCGCGCTCTCTTTGTTTAGTACTTGACTGTTACGTTAGTAATGTACGCTTTCTTTGGTGTTTGACTATTACGTTGGCGATGCGCGCTCTCTTTGTTTTGTGTTTGAATCTTACGTTAGCGATGCGTACTCTCTGTTTAGAGTTTAATTGTCACGTTATTGACGCGCGCTCTCTTTGTTAAGTGTCTAACGTTAATGAGTTCTCTTTGATCAGTGTTTGACTGTTACGTTAGTGATGCGCACTCTCTGTATTAAGTGTTTGATTATTACGTGTGTGTCGCAGGCTCTAATTTTTTAGTGTTTGATTGTTACGTTTGTGTCGCACGCTCTACTTTTTTTAGTGTTTGATTGTTACGTTTGAGATGCACGCTCTCTTGAAAGAACCGCGGCGTATGAAAGTGAAAAAGTGCCGCTGTCACGGTGAGTTCTCGTCCTTTGTAAGCGCTCGCTTGATTGCCTTGAATATATGGTCGTATTCTAACGTTACGCCTCGACTTTGACAATCAAACCCAGTCTTCTCAGCTTAGCTTGTGTCATAGACTAACTTCAGATGAACATGGCTTTTTAAACGAAACTGAAGTGAAATACCTGTTATCTTTCTGAATGTAAATTGAGTTCCTAACGCTCCATTATTCGTAACGTTTATAATTCTCTTCCTGGTTTCTCCCAAGACTTGACTTCCAAATTCAACTTCGGTGACATCCTCTGAAATCTGAGGTACAGTTTACATTAAAAGCCGACCAACAAAAGAACTCGTTGGGCAGAATTTCTACCGAGATTCACAATATACAAAGCGATCTGCAAACCATAGTTAAGGCTGTGACATAGGAATCCGTTATACAATCTAAACAACTAACAATACTATTAGCAGTAAAAACATCAGTGCAGGGGTTTTTTAATAACCTTTTTCCATAAGCAGCTACCGCCGATGGTGTAAAAGGCAGCTGTGCGCGAAAAGGGACAGTTAACGAAACCCAAACATAAGGGCGTACTCGCAAACTAAATAGACGGTGGTAAGAGTCTTATGGGTGGCGGTAGACCGTTTGTAACCGGCTCTCAATGAAGCCCCTGCACTGAAAGATCGTTTTCGATTGAGTGTCGGAAGTCAAAACCAGTACAATCGAACAGTGACACTTCGATTGTACTGGTTTTAATTCACTCTGCCATTATTTCAAGGTACTCAGCGCGGGACCTTTTTTATAGAATCAAATACAAAGCAATAAGTAAAACAACTGGGACTCGTCCGAACTTTTTCCGCGCTTGAAGCTGCTTCACGCTTTTACTTAAAGATCTCATTTGCTTCTTGTAAAATTCTCTTCCGTCCAGGCTGCCCCTTCCTAATTGAAAGGTGGTAGGTTTCACTCGTATTGGGGGTATTCGAAGTTCTTTTTTTCCGAGTATGCCTGTCCTTCAATGAATAACATCGTCTTTCACTTGAGAATCACCAGGCATGTCGTTGTGAAGTAAAACAAAAATGTGTCTTAATTTGATGTTCATCAGCTCCTTAATGTATTTTCCTTTGCTCTGAGTGGCTATTGTGAAAGCGTTGATGTGAGTTTTACGACAACTATAACTAGATAAGAATTACGGTAAAAATGTTAAAGAAGAGTACCTGACATTTCTTTGTGACACATCGAATTGGAACTGAAAAGGGTCCTGTTTGGGCAAGGAAATCTATGTGGCCTACCAAGTCTTCATTCAGCTGTACAAGGGTATAATAAGAAAAAAAAAACACTCGTTCACAATGTCACGTTAACCTTTCCATGATATCAAAAGAAATCAACTCACTATGTAGGCTTTTGAAACTCACCATTGGTTTGAAAGTCACTGCAAAATCACAAGTCAGACCAGCTGACATCACTCCTGGTGGATCGAAACTAATGAAACGTAAACGAAAACAAAATGTTTTGTAGGTGTATTTTCATTGCCGAGTAAAAATCAACTTATGGTTTTGGTTCGTGTAAGACAAGTTATCCTAATCGATAGCGCGCTGGAATCCGCATCGAGGTGTCCGAGCTCGAACCCTGGTCTGTATGCTGTACTCCCGACACTTTACTTTCACAACTTTCACAGTCCCTTTCTCCCGTCAAGAGTATAAATGGGTCACAATGAACTGACAGTGAAAACTGTAAAAATGCTGGGGTGTGGGGAGGGGATGGTAACCTGCGATCGACTCGCATCCTATCCGGGGGGAGTAACAATCCGCTGAGTCTCTTTACGATACAGATACTGTGATACACTCATGCAGCAATACGAACCGCTCTCGAGCGCAATTTTTATTTCTTTTCTTAGACGGTAATAAACAGGACGTTTACTTACAACACTTCGATGAAGTCTTTCAGGATATGAGACATGCCAACATATTTGCAGTAGTTCTGAGTGTATGATATGTTTGTTAAAAGAATTTTCTTCTTATAGGATTTCCCGACGTCAAAGTCCTAGAGAAAAAATTATTACGCATGTTTCAGTTGCCAAGCAGCTGGTTCTAATATTCTCACAACCGCTGCATTATTGTAATTGGACAATAAGTCACTTTCCCGCCGGTACACACACCTTAAATACGATGACCTCAGGTTTACTGTAAAAAGCACAACCCTGCAGAGAACAGTAGGAAGAGAATTATCAGTTGGAACGTTTGTGAGTCAAACTTGATTCCAGTTTCGGTCGTTTGAAATCAGTCAGGAAACCCGCTCTCTTGGATGCAAATGCAGAAAATAACTTAGCCATGCCATCATATTTCAAATCAATGATAGCGCGCCATAGAGAAAGGCCTCTGAGTACAAGATGAATTTCAAAATAATACTTAATAATAATAAAAACAACAAGAGGTAAAAATATACCGCGCACGAATCGCGAAGGACTATAAGAGAGATAACAAATTTAGGGTTTCTTCCTCTCTCGCAGTCCCTTCCTCCAGTGCGCCCACTTTTTTTCAGAAGAGAAACGTTTGGGAGCGAGGGAAGCATTGTAGGGTTAGTCTGAATGAAACAGGTAAAATATCAATATGCACCTGTCATGTTTTGACATTAGGCCTAAAATTTTTCTAGTTCGTTATTTTCAGTCCTTTTTAATTCTCCCAATCCTCAGCAATCCTTGCTCCTTCTTAGTTCATTTTTTTCCCTTTTGATGTTTTTCAGTCTTGTTCGATTAATATCTTAAGTCTCCTTCAAGTTCGGTTCGTGCACCACAAAAAGAAAGACTCTGTCAGTAAGTCGTGAGGCAGGTCCAATAAGTTAGTAACAATTCCCACAATGCACACAAACCTTAAATTCTCTTCCAGCAGCTACTTGTTTCTGAACAATCCCTGCTCTCTGTTTCATGAGAGCTCTTTCCATCATCTCCTGTACAAAATATCGAATTAAAAAACGTCACCAAATAATCTCTAAAAGAAAATAATTGATTAAAGTAGTGGGTAAAATTCACTCGGAAAGGTGATTCGGCACAATCGGAACTCAATAAGTCTGTGAAAGCTTTAAATTTTTATCAATGATTTAGGCTAATAACATCCAATTCCTCATCCCCAAATGTTCGTTTAATTTTTCAGTTTTTTGGGTGGTATATCCAACAGAATATGAATGAAAGGACGGAGAAAAAAGAAACGGGAGACTTACCTAAAGCGTCTTAGCCGATGCATGTGTAATGATTTTCTTTTCAATGAACATTGAAGAATTTCAAAATGCGACCTAATATTTTTTCTCTATTAGGGAACTCAAGATCTAAATAACAGCTGTTATCAAAGTTTTACCTGTTCCATTTTACTAGGAATGTGGGTTGCGAATTTAAATCTGTGCTCCTTTTTCTCAGATGCCTGAAAAATATAACACACAATTTCATTTTAGCCAACCCTTTTCAAACTACTTCGGGTTAGTCAGTAGTGGTGCTTCTAAGGCAGGCAGTGTAAAACGCATATATCAATGAACGGCGCAGTAAGGCCTGATTAGTTTCTAGTGATAGCGCGTATTTCAGATGACTGTGTTAAAACCAAAAGCAAAGTAATCAAAACCGCCACTCAGAACAAGGGAAAATAACACATGATGCCAATGAGAATGAGGGTATAAACTAGCAAATTGCCTGAGGCGCGGGAAAACACGAGTGAAAATAACGCGCTTGGTTTTAGTCTAGCATTTGATTGGTCGACAGGTTGGCACAAGCTTTCTGTACCAATCACAGACCGTTGTGAGCTACACCTAAGTAACCGCCGATTATTTTTGTCACTCAATTGGAAACTGCTTTGTTTCCTTGTGTTCTTTCTATTTGTTGGAGTGACTAGGGTTTTGGTCTTCAGAAAAAGAATACAAAAAGCACATAAAAAAAAAACTAACCTTATGAACACCCTCTTCCCATAGTCCCCTAAATTCTGGTTGGGCCAGTTCTTCTCCTTCAGCTTCTGAATCACTGGATAAATTAGATAAAGATAATGATGGTTGAAACTCGATGACAGAGCCAATACAATATGCTGATCAACATTAAAAGACAGAAGTATTCTATAAGATACTAACCCTTCCTTGGCTTCATCTCTACTTGTCTCTCCATACGGGGAAAAATCATCTTCGTCATCTTCTGAAGATACTGCACCAAGCTTTCCTGGTGTATGTTGACCCTGAAAGCAATCACAACGGCCAATCAGAAGAAAAGAAAAGACCTATAAGAGCCAATGAGAACTGCAAATATAACCAACAAAACTGCACAAAGGGCGGGAAAACGCGGGCGACCAAGTTGTGATTGGCTTTAGCTTGGCATCTGATTGGTTGAGCAAGTAGCGCAAGTTTTCTGAAAAAACACAGAGCAAAATGGAAAATAATTTTGGATTACTTTCGACGCGCAATTGAACATTTTTTTAACAGTGACTGATGTTGCGAAAGTCAAAGGCATTGTCACCGCCGTCTCTGATGACGAATTCCGCTTACGTTGGCAAAACTTCCGTCAAATGTCAAAATTGTTTAAGATGTTTCAACTTCCTCGTTTCTTGGGAATTTTAAATTGAAATTACCTTTGCATCGTGTATTTCTACCAGAGCAGAAGAGTTTCTTACAAGATGAATTCTGACCACAGCATACCAGTTAGCGAGGAAGTTTTACTAAAAAGCGCAGAAAAGACCAAAACCGCACGAGAAAAAAAAACTTAAATAAGAAAGTTTCATGGCAGCTACTAATGTCCTTCAATATCATTAGACCGTCAATCTTTGAAGAGTTACTATTTTTCTCCCCAGAAAGAGAACTTAGGCAGAGTATACTATCAAATAAGACATCACTGACAAAATGTAAGAATTCATTGTTTAAAAAGTTTTACACTACTAGGATCTTCGTAGAAATGACATGATTCTTCAGCCGAATCTTTAATAGCTGCTACATTTACGTTTAAACTTGTTGCTATGAAATAACTTATTTATTGTTAAGTTTTGTGTTCCTTTTTCTGAATAAAGTAGCTTAGTGCTATCCCTACCCCTGTATCTTCCACATCTGCACTGTACTCCACAGAAGATGATCCACTGGTTGATTTGAAAAACTTTGGTTTGGGACGTCGCCTGCTTATCCTCTGTGACAAATATAGATTCTTGTGATAAATTTTACTAAGTTTGTGACAAGTCTACCAGTTCTCTCACAAATAATGTAAAAAGGTAAATCTATAATTCCATTACACAGTTATTTTATGATGCATGTATAAGGAGCAACGCGCAAAATATGAGATCGCAATGTCATTTGCATGTGCCTTCCACAGATAGACAGATAATATGGGTTACACTCACTCTTCCCCTACTTGAGAGTTTAACATGTAATACGCACGGACACTATGCTCAATGTTACTGTGGTAAATTTCCAAGCAACTCACAAAATATCCACGCGCTGTGAATATTCCACCATCGATTGAGATAAAGATCAAAATGAAATAATTTGCTGTGAGGCCGTGAGAGTCGCGTTTCACTGAATCAAATGGCTGTTGTGTTAATGTTTACTAGCATATATTACGCATCGCTTTCTTGTTTCGAATAACGCCTTTCGCTGACGGAAATTGATAAAAACCTCTTTCAGTCAAACTTAGTAACCTTTGAGTAAGATTGATGCTTTGGCGAACAGCGAGGATATTGGTCTTTTATGATTAAAATTTCTACGGCATTAATAAACTTCATTAGGAAACCACCGCCCTGAGCTAAAAGAGATGTAAGTGAAATCCTTATATCCCGGCCAACACCCTGGTATTCCCACCCTGTCCCATTATTTTCTCTAGTAAATTTACAATACCTTCACCCTTTCTCTTTGTTTTTCTGGCCATAACTGAGGTTGCTGTTGATAGCGCTTTTTCATCTGTTTTTCCTCTTTCAATATGTTTTCAACAATTTCAACCTAAAAATGAAAAAACGATGAGCCACAAGGAAGACAATGTAATTTAAAATATAAACCAAAAATTTGTGGTCCTTTTTAAGTACAGCAGGGTTGCAGGGGTTTAAACAGTCAACTTTCTGCATAAGCGGTTGCCGATAAAGTAATACACATATAGGCTGCTGTGCCTGACAGGTCTTAGAGGCGGCCGGCAATAGACCGCCAGTAACTAGCTTTTGTTGAAACCCCTGCAGTTACAGTAATTTCAAGTTACCTGTCGCTCTCGCTGCCTTCTTTCGTATGCTCTGAAAAGAAAAGCATATGAAGTGTGTCAAAATTAAATGTTATAGTAATACACTTACAAACTCTTAAGAAGGCAAAGCTGACCTCTTTCATATAAAAGCCCCTCAAACAAGTATTCATTGACAAATCTGAAGGCATACTGTTCACAATAGTTTTAAGCAATATAGTACTTTTTCCATGCCTAGATAACCTCATTGAAACACAACTGGGACTGAAATACTTAAAAAAGTTGAAGTGAATCTGGGAATTTGCGAACTGGGAATTTGGTCATGGCGGCTGCTCTGCGTTTACGTTCCGCCGTTTGCTCCATTGTAGTGTATCTTTTGGTTAGTTTGATAGTCTGTAAACTGGCCGAATGTCCACAGAAACGATCCAGAGATGAAAGATTATCTAAACTGACGGCAGCAAAGACTGTGAACACAGTAAACATCAAAGCAGTGAAACCACTTGGCGATGAGCAAGTCAGCAAGAAGGCTCGTTCGCAAACAACGGGAAGTGTCAAACTTATCAATGCGATGAAATTATTAAATATGGCACTAGCTGCAAACCTAATTCTCCTGTCTAACGACGTTTCACTAAATCCTGGACCAACACAGCCCTCGCCATCCTTGATGAAAGGTCTTCGCTTATTTCATCTCAACATTTGCAGCCTACGCAATAAAATGGACGAACTCAGACTTTTCTGCGACGAGCACAAACCGCACATCGTGACAATAAACGAGACTTGGCTTGATGACTCGTTCACCGACGCGGAAATAACTCTTCCTGGCTACAATGTTATGCGAAAAGACAGAGACGAAAATGGTGGTGGCGTTGCGGTATACATAGCAGAGCAACTAAATTACAGTCAGCTTGACGAAAGTGCAATCCAAACACAGAACGACAACTTTGAATCAATTTGGTTTGAAGTATGCCAGCCAAAATCGAAGAAGATTTTATGTGGAGCAATCTACAAAACACCAGATGCTGACCCAGCGGCTTTTACTAGCCGGGTCGAAGAAATTCTAAACAACGTTCTGACAAATGATGGTGAAATTGTTCTTATTGGAGACTTCAACCTAAATTATTTAAACCCGACTTCTGCGACAAAGCATTTTCAGCAAACAACAAAATCTTTTCATCTGAAACAAACAATCACCGAGCCCACTCGAATCACTGAGGAGACTAGAACTTTAATCGACCTATTTCTAACATCAAGACCAGAACTGTACACCTGCGGTGTTATTCCAATCGGCTTCTCTGATCACTGTGCTATTTTCGGAGTCAGAAAACTCCACAACATCAAGCGCCCTCCGCCTAAAATTATTCAGAGCAGAAATTATAAAAATTATGATCCTGCATTCTTTAGCGACGATTTGAATAAGATCCCATGGGATATTCTCGAAATGGAATCAACGTCAAATGAAGCTTGGATTGTTTTCAAAGATCTTTTTTTGACAGTTGCTGACAAACATGCGCCTGTTGCCACGCGAAGAGTTCGCGGGTTTTCAGTTCCATGGCTAACATCAAGTATAAAAGAATTAATGACAGAAAGGGATTACCATCATAAAAAAGCGATCAAAACAAATCAAGAACTGCACTGGAGCAAATACAAGCGCTTACGAAACACCGTTAGCAAGAAAATGAAGAAAGCAAAATCGGATTATTATTCTTCTCGCTTAACAGAAACCCAAGACCCAAAAACAATGTGGGAAATCCTGAAAGAAATCATACCAAATAAGAAAAATGCCGGCGTGCCAAAAACCGACAGTTTGTCTGCATTAAAGTTCAATCACTTCTTCACTTCCATCGCCGAAAAACTGTGTGAACGATTTCAACTAAGCACTTACATAAAGCCACTAACACCAAGAGTAAATAACAAATTTTCTATGGAAGAAGTGAACGAAATGTTTGTCTGTAATGAACTGAAGAGACTTAAATCAAAGAAAGCCACTGGTCTAGATGGAATGTCTGCAAGACTTTTAAAGGATGCAGCTTCTGTGATAGCCAAACCCATTACTTATATTATTAATCTGACTATTTCAACTGGCGAAATTCCACCTGAACTTAAAGAAGCGAAAGTTACGCCTATATTCAAGAACGGTAAAAGAACCGAAGAAAGTAACTATAGGCCTATATCCGTGTTGCCCCTAGTCTCCAAGGTTATGGAGCGTGCAATCCAAGTACAGCTTGTGAAATTTCTTGAAGCAAATGAAGCTCTGTCAGCGTACCAATCTGGATTCCGAAAAGGACATTCTACCGAAACTGCTGTGACTTATCTCACTGATCAGATCTTGGAACACATGGATAATCAACAAATGACTGGCTCCGTCTTCATTGACTTAAAGAAGGCTTTCGACCTAGTTGACAAAAACTGTTTGTTACAGAAGTTAGAGCACTATGGTGTCAGAGGGAAAAGTCTCACATGGTTCCAGAACTACCTAGGATCTCGTACACAACGAGTACGATTTGGACAGGACTTGTCACCAAGCCTCCCCATTGAGTATGGTGTTCCACAGGGATCCTTGCTGGGACCACTACTTTTCGTTATATACATCAATGACCTGCCAAGCTGTCTCAAAAACACGCACATCAGTATGTATGCTGATGATACAGTCATCTATTGCTCGGGTGCAAACCCAAAGGAGATAAAGAAGGCCCTTCAAGAAGACCAAGAGCGGGTTGTAACTTGGATGGATATAAATCGTCTGATTCTGAATAAAGAGAAAACAAAGGGAATTCTTTTCGGGACGAGACAAAGGCTGGAAGCCGTCGCAAACTTTTACATCACCATAAGTGGTACCAATGTCGAGATGGTCAGTAAATTCACATACTTGGGCGTTACCCTCGATGAGGAACTGAAATGGAAAGTACACGCTGAAGATGTTCACAAGAAAGTATCCAAGCGACTCGGTCTCCTCAGACGAATACGCTCCACTCTTACTTTACAAGCAGCACAAGCGGTATACAAATGCATTATTGAACCAATTTTTAGTTACGCAGACACAGCCTGGGGTGAACTACCCGAGAGCAGTATCACTAGTCTGCAACGATTACAAAATCGAGCCGCGAAAATCGTCACCTGTCAGAAAAGTACAAGGACAGCCCGAAATATTGTAAATTGGCCAGATTTAGAAACACTGCGAAAAATACACAAATGTATTTTAGTATATAAATGTCTACGGAATTTCGTTCCTATATACTTAAAAAACTATTTTAAGGTAAACAATGATGTACACAATTACAACACTAGGCAGAGGAGAAATATTCACCCAAATAAAACAAATCTTGTTCTTGGGGGGCGAACTTTTAAAAATTCAGGGCGTTTAGCTTTTAACTCACTGCCAAGCAGAATCAAAGAGGCAAGTTCTCTAGCAATTTTTAAACGCGTTCTTAAAGGACATTTTATCTGATTTTTTTTTTCTTTTTTTCTCCCCTTTTGTAAATTTTAGCAAATTTTTACCTAACCTTGTAATCTTATTGTAAATGTTTATATGTAATTTTTATTGAACCCAGGGCCCCTAAGGATACCAGCCTTGCAGCTGACTGGGCTACCCTGGTAAAATAAAGTTGTCTTGTCTTGTCTTGAATCCACTTGTTTTCTCCAGAGATTTGAACGCCGCTATTGTAGCAATGAAAAGCTTTTCAAGTCGACATCTAAGGTATCTCTTTAAATTAATAATTGAAGCATAAACAAGCTGTAAAAAAATCAGGTAAATGTTACCAACCAAAAATAACACAAGTAAAGGTAACAAAAAGGGAAAACAGTCTGACTTTTGCCACTGCTTATAGATGATGGGTATAACTGAATAAAATGAAGACCATGCTATCATCGTACAGGATAATTTGGTTTTATCAACTGATTTGATAATGTAAGTTGACCACCGTAAAGAGTTTCTTAAAGTGACGTTACCCTTCGTCACAGCATGTAAATAACGAAGGGCTAACGTTCAATACGTCAGCTTTAGAATCTCTTTACGGTGGTCAATCTACATTATCAACTCAGTTGACAAAACCAAATTATCTTGTCAACGACGCAGCGCCACAGTTTCTTTAGAAGCTTATCCCCTTTGTTAATTTATTGCCCTACAGTTTTCCATGTTATCTACTCACTCTTTATCCTTTTCAAACTGTCTGATCCTTTTTCTTCTTGTCAACTCCTCATCGGGATTTAATCCTTCAGCAAAAATCTCTTGTCTTTCCTGCAGTTCCTCCTCTTCTTTTTCCTGTCTTAACTTAGCATCACGGGCTTGCAAGGCCCTGAGATTTTCCTACAAATCATACATAATACCTATTTATAACCTGTTAGTACAGACAATTTGGTTTATCGACCGAGTTGAGTGTTTCTGGCTGATTACAAACAAAGAATCACACCTGTTCATCACCCATAGGCAGACTTGTAAAGCGCTACTTCCAACTAACAGTAACTGCTATTGCAACGGGAAACAAATTACTCATCCTACCTTGTTAGCTTCAATGTTGCCTTTAAGACACAATATGGCCTGCATTCTGTCTTCCATATTTCTTCGAGAAAGTTCCTCTTCTTCTGCTTCCTTCTGACGAACTCTGCAATGTATACCAGAGAATTAAGATCTGTTTGCAAACCTGCAAGTCAAATATCCTTAACCCTTTAACTCCCAGAAGTAATTGACAGGTCGTTGCTCCCAATAATATCCATACGTTATTAAAAACTGGATCATGGAATAATGAAATTCAAGAGTTTTCATTGGCTTAGCCATCATGGGTTAAGAGCCATGATTATAACATGCGCGCGCATGAAGACGAGTTAAACCGAACAAGTTTTGGTACATCATAACAAATTGCGTTTGTTCTCAATATGTAAAGTTGCAAAGATTTATCCATAGTTTTGGGGCGATTTTAATAAAACAATTATTCCACTTGCGTTTTTTTGGATATGAGATGATTATTGCCAACTCAGCCCTACCGGCCTCGTTGGCTACCTATCATCTCATATCCAACGCGCGCTTGTGGAATAATTTTTAATTATCCAACAAAGCGATAATGAGAATACTCAAACTTATCAGATAAAAGTTGTTATCTTGATCTGTCACCAAAATCTCCAAACTAGTTTACAAGGAAATGTGTAGCAGCTAAAGGAGAGAATTAACAATCAGATCTAGAGATTTAAAGTGTTGAAGGAAAATTCTGTATATGGGTCTGACTTGTACAGCTGATGGACGTCACCCCAGTCTTGGTAGTTTCAGAGGCTGACATTAAGAGTATTACTACTCCCTGTGGATGGGATCCCATGTCATTATACATCACCCAGGGAGTTCCACCACATTTTTAAAGCTTTCCCTAGAAATTCACTGGTACCCATTTACACCCCTGGGTGGGTGGAGAGAGGCATTATGAAAGTAAAATGTTCCCCCCCCCCATTCACACTCCTGAGTGGGGAGAGGCATTGTGAAAGTAAAATGTTTCCCCTTAGATGACACAGTGATCCCAATCAGGACTAAAAACCTTGATCTTTTGATATGGAATCCACTGCATTAATCATCAGGCTACCAAAACTCACACAAACTATGTCCTTTATCAGAAGAAAAATTTATCACAAGGGAAACAAATCAATTATTTCAGGTTTTCACTGTTTTGGCTTTTTATGGAAGTGCACATATGTGAGGCAGAATTCTGATCAAATAACCCAACATCTTTTCAGCATACCTCCAAAAAAAAACCCTATTAGTAACAGGCTTCCATCTCTCTCTATACAAAAAATTTTTGTATTTGCATAAAAAGTACCTGGACATTGTCTCCTTAAGAAACTTGGATGCCTGTTCTCTGTTTCGTTTGGCTGCAGCAATGGCTTGTCTGTGTTTTCTCTCTCTTTCTCTTAGGGCAGATATGTGCTCTCTGCAAAGGATTTTAGTAATAATTTATTTCTATCATGTTAGCACTTTCAACTATTCAAAAGTATATTTACACAGAGGTTTTGAGCATTAGTCCTTTGCCATTTGCTCTGAAAAAGGGCTAATGCTCAAAACATCAGCTTCAAAACTCTTTACATTGTTCAATTCACATTATCAAATCAGTTGATAAAACCAAACTTATCTTGTTATCTCCCCAAACAATGCACCACAGTTTCTATAGAAACCTACCCCCTTTAACAAAGAAGCAGTTTGTGACAAGTCTTAAGTAATGCTTGTGTTAGATTACAGTATAAAACAACCAACTGTCCAAATACTGGTATAATATTGTGGGATATTTGAGTTTGATTTGCATGTAATTTGTACTCTACTTAATATGGTTGGATAATAAGTAGTAATTAGTAAGATTAATTATGTTATGATAAGTTATATTATGACACAACACAAATTCTCATAGCTTCATTTAAAAACTATGGAAATGGATAAACTGTGACAGGAATAAGACTCAAAATGAGCTTAGAGGAAAAAGGGTCAATTAAACTAAATTACTTCTCTCTCAGGCGTCTTCTCCTCTCTGCTACAGCTGCACTCATATTTTCTTTTCGTAAACGGACTGCAGACCACTCAGCCTTTTGTTTCTCCACAAGCTTCTCCTCTTTTTCAAGTTCTTGTCCAGCAAGGAGGAACTTTCCTTGTTCAACTGTGGCTTGTGCAAGAGCAAATCTATAGTGAAAAATATTCACCATTCTTATCACTAGCAAGAAGACATGAAATTCAAGCAGCATTCACACTACATGAGCAAGCCCTGTCTGCTCAAAGTCTGGATAATACCATACACTGCACAATTATCTACAGCCAGTGAATAGATTAGCTAACAAAGGTAAGACATATCTGTTGGATAGCATTCATATAGCCAGTGTAAAGGGATGTTGACCTCTTTGCAAAATATATTTCTGATACCAAAATCATAGGGTTAGCAGAAGACACCAACTAAGGAAGCTCTTGATTGTTGAACAAATTCTCTTTGTCAGCACCTTAGGAAATGTATAGAGAACAGTCCAAACAACATTTATACTGATGTTAAGGACTGTTAATGGTTTAGGAAGACAGAAAGCCTAATAAAACAGATAGAGATAGAGATAGAGAAAACAGAAGAAAGTTAGAGTGGTTCAAACTGGAAAAAAAATATTTTTGGAGAAGTAAATTCCTGATACCAAAATCATACGATTGACAACTACTTACTCTGCCTCTTCAAGTCTGTTTAGAATTTCTCTTTCAACATCTTTTTCAGCATCAATTTCTGCACATAATTTATCATGGTATGACTGCAGTCTGTAGAATGATGCCCTAAATGATCAAACAAATCATCAAACAAAGTTTCCTGATGTCAACACCACAGGAAATGGAAAGAGAAAAGTATAAAGAATATGAATATTAAAATTAGGGTCTACAGTTTTGCGAGGTAAGGTAGCCTCATCACTAATTTTTGATAGTTATCCATTTACTCACATATTGTTTTGAGTTTCTGCTTCTTCAATCTCATTACTGACTAACTCTTTATCTTTCTGGAGTTCATCAATATGCTCTTGACATTTCTTATGCTCATCCCTAAAAATACAAGGAGACCAGATTGTCACCAGAGATTTGAGGCATTCATTCAATACATCTTATTAGTGGTTCTAGTCAAACTTTCAAGTAAAATGATATTCATTCATATTTGTTTACTACATTACCTGAACTGTGAAACAAGGTAGTCTTTCTCCAATACTTGTTCACTCAGTTGGTCAAGATGACGTCTCAAAGCTAAACGCTGTAATTTCTCCTGTAGAAGAATGTTTTTAGTGATATTTAAGGTACATGTAGATCCCAATTATCACATGTATAATAAAACAACAACAAAAACAAGTTCAGAATGAATGTGATAGAGTTTAACTCAATTCTAACTCTTCAAACAGAATTTCAGTTAAGGAACAAGGCTGTAAAACATTTGTGACAGTCTGCTGAGAGGGTTCAAATACCAGCCAGTTCAACCAATTTCCAATCACATGCTTTTACCCTTTACATACTAACATCAGTATCCATATCTGCCATACTCTTCTCTTTACATTGTCTTTGGTACTGACACAGAGAATTTGTTTAACAATCAAAGCTCTTTTGGTTGTTCATCATTTCCCTTATTCTCATGAACTTAATAAATGACTCAACAGTAATACTGTAAGGAGAAATCAATTGATATTCCCTCTTAGGGTTTAACCCTTTAACTCCTAAGATCTCATAAGTAATTCTCCTCACTGTCTGCCAAATGATTCTCATTATGTTAGTTTGGAGAATTTGGTATGGGATCAATTAGTAATCCCATAATTGATATTTTTCTTAATTCTCATCACTTGTCTGCATGATATTGTATAGACACGGTAAGGAGAAATTTTGTCTTGGTCACTCACGGGAGTTAAAGGGTTAAGGGTTAACAACTGACCTGTCTTGTTTGTTGAGCGATTGGATCAGACGCATATTCATCCTCCTCTATTCCCCCATCCATACTCCTGTATAAAATTAATAAAATCACAGTCACATTGTTATTAAATAATTAGTTAATCTGGTGGCTTATAGTTAAAAACATATAAAATATTTGTTTCAAGAAAACATGAATAGTGTTCTCCAGAATCCACTGCCATTGCAGTTTCACTGGTTACTTGAATCTGAAAGGCCAGCTACTTTTTAATCATTCAAAAGACAAAAGATCTGAATACTTGTCTTGCTGTCAAATAAATTTTAACCTTTGATTGAATATTTAATGAAATATGATACCCAAACCAGAATAAAAGCCACATATATGTAAGAAGAACTCCTACTTGAATGCTGATCTAAGTTCATCACCTCCTTAAAGTTGGTGATCACAGAAGCAGAGTCTCTAAAGATGACTCCTCATTACCACCCATAACTCAGCAGCATTTAAATCTATAAACCTAATTTGTTTATATGTTCAGGGATCAAAGGCTAGGGGTAGAAAAGAAATCAATATTTCATTACAATTGCCTTACCCAGTGAGAGATTCCTCATCACTGAAGTAATTCTTGTCAATATCAGATGAAGGGTCACTCTCATACTCAATAGGTCCTAAATGACAGTGAAGAGATACATGTCATTTGTAGCATCAGAATTAATATAAGCACTGATAAAAACATCCTTTAACCCTTTCACCTCTGCGAGTGTCTGGCTTCTAATTTCTTTTAACAGTATCCAGGGGTTTCAAAATGTTTTGAAGTAGACGTCAGACTCCACAAAAGTGGGTGATTGTGAAAAGTTCATTAACCCTTTAACTTCCAGATAATTTTTCATTCTTCTTACTATCAACCATACAATTCCATAATGTTAGTTCAGAGAATTTAGTATTGGATCAACTGATTATCCCCAAGTTGATATTTTTCTTTATTCTTATCATTTATCTGGTTGATATTGTATTGATATTGTATTGATATTGTATTGATATTGTAAGGAGAAATTCTCTCTTGGTCATTTATGGGAGTTAAAGGGTTAAGGGCAAAAAGGTAATTATTTTGATCAGAGTAACTAGCAACATTTTATCAAGTAGCTGGCGGAACTCTGGTGGTTGCTGGCTTGTTTTGAAATCCTGGATAGTATCACACTTGAATCAAATGAGAAGATTATCAAAATAAAAGAAATGATTACCAATTTCAAATGCTCTTTCTTGTAAAAAAATTATCTGGTCAGTAACATAGAAAAAGTGTAAAGAACTGTTTGAAGAATATGAATGTTATTGTTACTGTAAAGAGAATTTAAGGAAACCTCCTTTAGGAAGACATTTTCCACAAATGACAAATTCATGGTCTGGGCCACACAAAACCCTTGTTCTTTGCTGCACTTCAAGAGGTGGTTTTCAAGAAGAAGTGGTTGTGAGAGGAGGTTACACTGTATTACAGAAAAGTTATAACATATCTATTTTCTAGGTCTTTCTTAAATCAGGTTCCACTCCACTATTGACCAGGCCACAGTTGTTTCAAGGGTGGTTAAGGCTATTTACTGGATAAATCTCTACTGGTGGATAGTGCTGTATATTTTGTGTTAGATTTTGATTTATCTGTTGGATAGCTTTATATTATCTACCCTTCAAACAACTGCCCGACCTAAACCATATTTACCACAGAAAATGATGGAATATTCTTTCTCTTTTTTTTTTTTCCAGACTTTTACACTTACCTTCATCTGAGAACTGCCACTGGTTTTGTTTGATTTCTTCTACTTCACCATTGGTCACATTGCCGCTGGCATCGGCATTCACAGTTTCATCATTCGAGGTGTAAATACTATGATGTTCCATGGTGTCTTCAATAGCCTTTTTCTCTAAATCCACCACTTCCATGTCATTGACGGCAACTGGGCGCCTTTTAAAATCGTTTTTGTACCAATGTAGCGTTTTGTTTCTTTCCTAGACCTCGAAGTAACGTTAAATACTGGATTCTGCAAAATTAGATGGTCAATCTGTCTCCTATGACAACCATTCGCTTGTGTACATAGGATAAAAACTACACTGTCAATTACGATTTAAGACACGTCATAGAGTTCCTAAAATCACAATTCGATAGAATATATTACAGCAATATGACGAGATCCACATTGTAAATACTGCTTGCGGGTATTCCTAAACCAAAGTCTGTACGGTCAAATTTTTGGACAGATTCAAGGACGTCTAAAACCTTGGCTACAAGCACAACTCTTGTCTAGAAATACCACAAAAAAACGTTGACGTTTCCATCATGAAACCAGAAAGGTTGGTCAACAGAGCATAGCCAGCTCAACAGGTAAAAACGCTGTTATTTACGAGCTGTCAGCCTACAACTCGAAATCACCCGCTAAACAACAAACGGCGGCCATGACAGCGGTTAGCTAAGTGACCACGGCTGTAGTGGACAGGATAGCTTAGTAGCCACGGCTTTAGAACAAACATGGCGGAATTTTTGAGCCATTAGCCCGAGAGTCTCTTTTCCTTCTCAAGTTTGGTTATCATCCAACTGTTTGGCAAAAATAAGTGATGCTTAGACAAAGCTTCTTTCGGCTAAGGAGTCCTGAGACATACCTCAAAGTAGCTTGGCCAGGAAATTTAAAATTAGCGACTAATTACGAGGTAAACCTGTCTTATGTAATCGTTGAAGACCAAGTGTCACTGGCAACTTCTCTACAACGGGTTAATCACGTAATTATGCTTTATTGCAATATGAATATTGTTATCGGATAAAATTTATTACGGCGCCATCGATCAGACATGCAAACTTTTCCTCGTTGAGTTTTGATGTGCCAAATACATTTAAACTGGACAAATGACCTATTAGTACACTGACAACAAATTTTTATTTATAGTGTCGATCTCACCAAGAATTTAAATTTCTTTATGTTTAGGTGAAGCCAGTAAACAATTTATTTCATAAAAGAACATTAATATCCTCTTCAAGACATGCATTGACACGTGCTGAACCAAAAGGAGCTCAAAAACCAGCTGAAGATGTTTTCAAGCGATCGTCAAAGAGGGGTCCTGTAACATGGGCTTCACTTGCTCTTTGTGCACTTGCTGGTGGGGGGCTGCTGCTCTATGTTCGTCATCTCAAAGAGGAGAAGGAACGAAGTAAGAAAATTAATTACACCATTAGCTAATTTTCCATTATGCTTGTCAAAGGTATAGCTGATGGTGGGAGTGAGAATAATCCCCCATCTTTGGGAAAAAAAACAAGAAAAGAAAAAAAAATCTCACAGCTGGAAAGCTCATCCTACAAGGAAATACAAAAATGTCAGCCTTTTTGCTGCACATGGAGTCCCTATGTTTTTTTAAGTCTAAAGCCACCACACTGGGTAGAATATAAAAGGTAAACCTTTAGAGAAACCTTGGGGTAAACTTTGATGGATTAGAACCACTTAAAGGAAGAGTTGGAATACTTATGGTAACTTAATGACTATGATGACAAGAGTAAGATCTGAATGCAAAGCAAGTCAGTAAAAGGGAACTCAAGGAGAGCTTTTACATGGTTCATACATTGTCCCTGCATGCAAACCTGTCTACTACAAGGTTAGAAAATTCTGATCACTGAAAGTGTCATCCTTTTAGGATAAAGAGAAAGTACCTTTCAGCTCAGTCAATGAAGAAATAAGAAAATGTTTCTGTTAATTTAGAGTTAAAGCTAAACTGAAACCTTGATTTATTTAAATGTAGTGAAAGAGAAGCAGCAGAAGAGATCCATGGGGAAAGTTGCACTAGGTGGACCCTTCAGTCTCATAGATCATAACGGACAAGCTGTTACAGACAAGGATTTTCATGGCAAATGGATATTGCTCTACTTTGGTTTCACTCACTGTCCTGACATTTGCCCTGATGAATTAGAAAAAATGGGAAAAGCAATTGACCTTGTTGGTGAGCTGAACCGAAGCATGATTACTGTTAACCTTTCACCCTCCATGAGTGACCAGGAGAGAATTTCTCTTTGTGATATCAATACAATATCAAGCATAGAAGTGACAAGAATGAAGTAAAATATCAATTAATGAATTATTAGGTGATCCAATACCAATTCTCCAAACTAACATCATGAGAATTGTATAGGAGATCATAAGGAGAATTACTTATGAGATCTTGGGAGTTAAGGGGATTAACAGTGTACATGTATATGTGCCAGACATCTTTTTAATTTAGTGGTATCTTGTGATCATGTTACTCATTCCATTTCTCTCCAAAGCAGCACATTAATCAGCACATAGGCATGCTTTTACTGTTGAAAATAAAGATTCCTCATACCAACCCAAAAAAAATAAGTTCCCTTCCCCTTTAAAACTGAAAAGGTCTTTTTTTTCAATCAGGAAAGACATCTCTTGGTCCTTAACCCCAGTGTTCTCCTTTTCAGGCAGTAACTGGTAACATTTACCACCTCTTATTACCATTTAAAATTGCTTGGAATTCTTGAAAATCCAACTTGTAAAAGGATTGCTTTTCTGGTTTGAAAATTTATTTTACCTGTCATGCTTAAAATAATTAAGGGAGAACAATGTAACCCTTTAACTCCCAAGTTCCAATTAGCAATTCTCCACTCTTGACACAGTGACTATACAATTTCTTGTAAATTAGAGTGGAGAGTTTGGTGTACATCATTATGACTTCCTCTGGCGGTTAGCCTTGCTATTCCCATAACCTATTTGCAAGATGACTTTCTAGAATCACAGGGGAAAGTTAAATGTTGATCAAATCTGGGAATGAATGAGTTAAACAGCATTTGTGTATTTGAACATAAAATGATAGTTCTTTGGCAAATTCTAGAACTGAAGTAACTTGATTAACCCTTTAACTCCCATGAGTGACCAAGACAGAATTTCTCCTTACAGTATCAATACAGAATCAAGCAGACTAGTGAGGAGAATATAGAAGAAAATTCAAGTAGGGGACTACAAGTTGATCTAATACCAAATTCTCCAAATTGAAATCATAAGTATTTTATGGCAGACAATAGGGAGAATTACTAAAGAGATCTTGGGAGTAAAAGGGTTAAGAGTGTGTAGTTTCAGACTATAAAACTAGTTATTATTATTATTATAATTATTATTATTACTGTTTACATTACTTCATTGTATCTTTTGGTGTTTATAGATGAGAGCAAAGATGCACTTGGTGCAGAGCTTCAACCCCTGTTCATAACAGTTGATCCATCTCGGGATGATGTCAAGGCTGTGAAGCAGTATGTCCAAGGTGGATCTGATTATACATTTTATGGCAATTCCTTAGAAAGTTTTTTTTTTAAATGCCATTTAAGATGCCCACTGCTTTGTCCCTTATTAAGTACATGTTCCTCCTGTTATAGAGTTTCATCCACGTCTCCTTGGTCTAACGGGAACACCTGAACAAGTCCAACAGGTTTGCAAGGCTTACAGGGTATACTTCAGTGCAGGACCAGCAGATGAAGACAATGACTACATTGTATGTGAGCCATGTAATGGAAAAAGTACTAAAAACACAAACTTTGAGTAGAATTCTGCAATGTCCTCAGCTGCCCTTTGACCCCTTAGAGTGACCAGAGTCTAATTTCTCCTCACAATATCACCCCTGAATCAAACATTTAAGTCACAAGAATAAAGGAAATGATTTTCAACAAAGGAAGCTCTTGATTGTTAGGAGAATTATCCTTGTTAACACTGTAGGAAATGTATGAGAACAGTATGGAGAATATGCACACTGATGGTAGGGTGTAAGAGGTAACAGAATTAGATGGTTAACCCCTTAACTCCCAGGATCTGATTGTTAATATATTCTCTCCTCTAGCTGCTACACATTTCCTTGTTAATTAGTTACAAGAATTTGGTGTTAGATCAACACAACAACTTCTACCTGATACATTTGAGTACTCTCATTACCTGTTTGGTCGATAGTGGATGGATGTTGTAGGGAGAAGTTACATGTGAATCACTTCTGGGAGTTAAAGGGTTAAGATGTATTTCAGGTTGATTACAATTAATGAATTTTTTTCCAGGTTGATCACACCATTATTCAGTACCTTGTGGATCCTTCAGGAAACTTTGCAGAGTATTTTGGACAAAATAAGACAGCAGAGGACATTGCTGCAGGGATTGTAAAACACATGATGTCAAACAAATTCAAGCAAAAGAAATAATTTTGCAAAAAAATTTGTTCACATGAAATACATCAAGTCAGGATGAACTGCAGGCACCACTCAAATTGACCCAGGAGAGGCAAAGCAAAAATTTATCAAAAAGGCAGTCTAAAAACATTTTTGTTAAATTAATTAGTCAATCATTTTATATACTTGTTTCTTATCTGACTACATACTGTGCTGCTAATGTTTTTGGCTAGGTCATTACACCAACAATATTGTGGTTGAATCCGGTTGATATGAACATTAATTAAACTTACAATCAAGTCATTGTTTAAGATTTGGTAGAAATTATAATAGATGCTTTGGTTTAGTGGTTAGAATGGTGGACTGCAAATCTAAAGTTCCAGGTTCAGACCTTGGCCAGGATCATTGTGCAGTGTTCCTAAGGAAGACATTAAACTCTCACAGTGTGTGTCTCCATCCAGGAGAGTGATAAATTTTCAAGTGAGTGTCAAAGATAACCAAGGATTGCTTTTGCTTTACTAAGCTCTGTGATTGGTTCAGAAAAGCTTTACTACCCTCCTGTCCAATCAGAAACAAACCTAACACCAATCATGAATAAAGGGGGTAACTTTCCATGTGGTGGTGCATCAGTGGAAGAGTGTAACAAGAAATTTTGGTATGATCAACTTAGTTGATGATGTAAATTGGCCTCTGTAAAGAGTTTCAAAGCTGGTATTTTGAGGGTTAGCCCTTCATGAGAGAGAATGATGTAGGGCTAATGCTCAAAACATCAGCTTCAAAACTCTTTACAGAGGCCAATTTAAGTTATCGACTCTGTTGATAACACTGACACCAATCATGACTTGGTCACTCATATTTTCTTATTTTTCTTAACAGAAACAAAACTAGCACCAATCATGACTTGGTCAGTCAAAATTTCTTATGCATCAGGCAGTTAGCTTGCTTTTACTTAAAGCACAGTTAGACTGTTAGGTAATTATTTCCTTCCTTCTAATTGGCCACAGTGATTACTTCCAATCAGTTTTAGAGCAGTTTTCAGTTGATTGTCGTGAAACCAAAACCAAGTAATAACAACAGCCAATCATAACACTCTGCCTTGCATCATCATTTGCCGTTAAGGATTTAAACTAATAACAGCAAATTACTAAAAGCACAGGAAAATGCAGGTGACCAAGTCACAATTGGTTTTTGCTAGGTGTCTGATTGGTGTAGTGCATGGTGCAAGTTTTCTAGACCAAACACAGAAGGAGGTAAAGCAAAATCAAAGGAATTGCACATTACTTTTGACATTCAATCGAGAATCACCAGCTACTTTAAAAAAGTAGTAACAAACATTCAAGGAAACTCTTACTATGAATTGGTGGTTGGTTATCTGCAATGGACTGTAAGCATCCTGGTAGCTTCCTTCTTTTGAAACTAGAATAAGCTTCAACAGTAATATAATGGTGAGTAAGTGCCTAAGTATCGACATGTGACAGAATGCCAGCTTGATTGATAAAATTTATAAAAGTATGATCTTAAGGGAGAAAATCAGACATTCCCTGTAACCTGTTTATTTATTAATTGATGTAATAAAACACTGTGAACTGAGATCAGCTCTCAATGGGTTTTATTTGAATACTTTTATCTGCAAAGTTTTTTATCTTACACTTCAAACAATTCAATCTACACCTGTTCTAGATACAGTGATGACAGTTTTACATGAAAATAAGCAGAAGCATTTGCAAGTACTTCAACCATCACAACTGTAACACTTTCTTTCAGTGAATTATGCATTTATTTTAATGGTAGTATATCTTGCCCCAGAAGAAGTGGTGCCACACCTATTTCCTCTGTGAACACTTTGCAAATAAAATGACCCCTTGAGTTACATCTTGATATCAAAACCATTAATTAAAGTTTACACCAAGTAAATTGAAAATTCTGTCATTACTTACAGCTGTATTTTACAGCCTCACTTATCCACCTATCCTAAAATAACCAAGGTGAGCACTTAACACAATAACTACAGTACACTAAATAGGTACTACTTAATAGGTACTTCTGAAGTCTCAGTTACTGCTCTGTAAGACTGCCTTGCAGTCTTTTTTCTTTCCTTAATATGAGGTGAATGAGAAGATATTGGGACTAAAGACTGGGTGTGTGAGACGCAAGTATCGAGCCCAACCCTTTCTTAAACATAATTTTAAGTGTTCCACTCTTAGCTGGGATGATTCACACAGACTCACCCAAGAGAAAACTAATTTTTTGTACTAAAATTGTTAGGCTATTGCACCACAACCTTGTGCTAAAAGCAATTATAGTTACTGTTGGCTCATGATAGTGCAGTTATCAAACAGTATTTTAATGAAGCAATACTTTACCCCTTTCAGTATTCTACAATGATGAAATTAATATACACTGAATAAATGCTGTTTTAAAGTACTTGGTGTCTTCTTTACTGGTTTGATAGACTGTCTTACAGTCAATATCTGGTGAATGAGAAGCGAAACAGGGTGTGGCTGACACAGCTATCTCCCCCAACCCCTTTTCATTCATATTCTATATTTTCAATCAGCATTCCTCTATTTACTGGCATGAAATTGAACAAGGATTCAGTCCTGAGAGACAAATGAGTTAAGGAGTTTGAATTTCTTAGGAAACCATACATTATTCAAAGTAACTTTGAGTTACCTCAGTTGTCCAAGGCAATAATTTGTTATAGACCATTTCTTTCCACTGATAATTGCCTGAATAAGCATCACAGGCATCTGAAAATGATTTAACATAAAGAATGGCATAGGATCACTTGCATCCAGGACTGCATCTTTTCCGTTATGTAAAACCTGCATAAACTCTCCAAAACCTTGCTGGAAAAGCCCAACTTTGGCAATTTCATTGTATAACCAGTAGACATGGGTTGAAGAAGGGGAGGGCTGCACCGGAACCTCAAGCTGAAATTGAGTATCCATGGCCCCACGAATAGCTCTTTCAAGATCTGGCTGCATGTCATAAGAGACAATAGCAGAATGGAGCCTTGGGTTGCACTCAATGCAGTAAACCTCTCTTGTTTCCTCATCTTCCAGGAAGTCAAAACAAACACAACCAGTGAGTTGCTTGGCTTTGCAAAACTCCTCTACCCACTGTTTGATTGCAGGGTGTTGGACAACATCATAATCAATTTGCATTGGTGAACAAGGGCATACTTGAAAGACTTGGAGACATCCATTCACAACAATGGCATTGGCTGCGAATTCCTTTCCCTTTATGAACTGGTGGATCAGGTAGGGATTATTACTGTTCACCTTTCTCTCATAGCAAGCAATATATTTATCAAATTCTTTTGCACTGCTTGGTATGCAAGTGAAGTTTAATCGGTCTTCAGAATATGGCATCAATGGTTTCAGAAAGTAGTGGCCTTTTGAGAAAAGACCCTTCTTAGCCATTTCCTGGACTTCACTTGTACTATCCACTTCCTTAAAGTATGGTACTTGAAGACCAAGCTCTTGGCATTCCTTTAGAAAAAGAACCTTATTGTCAAGAATAGTGGTCAACTTTGGGTCATCAAAAACAAGACATTTTATCATAGGATTTACTTCTGCCAGACGCTGTTTAATGATTGTGTCTGCTACAGCTGTCTTTGTGTGGCTAACTGGAATATACCAATCAATATTCTCAGCTTTTGCAACATTGATCATTCCATTGATATAATCTTCTTTTCCACTGCAGGAATTTAAATTTGGCACTGTGTAGAATTTTGAAATGAAGTGAGACCATTGAACAGCAGAGCACCAAAAGTCTTCTGTGTCAGCCACAATAACTCTGTGACCAGCTTTTCCCAAGGTCTTGGCAAGGTGAAGGCCTTTGGTGTGAGCAACACCAGATACCAGCACAGTCTGCCTGAGAGCTTCTGTAATCTGTTGATCTTGCCTGGTCCTCCTTCCAAACAACCAACAGCTAACAGTGAACAGAAGACAGAATGGTGTCATAGAGAGAAGCACCAATAAGTAGACAACAGCTTTCATTCTGTACCAGAGTTGGCCAAATTGCACAACAGGTTTTTGTCCAGCACTCCCCATTTGGTATCACAACTTGAGTTAAAATTTATTGAAGACCAAGGGATATCTAATAAGAACAGACAAAGTTGTCAGATGGAGTTTCAGTATGACTCATCACTCATATCTCTTAACCCTTTCACCCCTAAGAGTGACCAGCATCTAATTTCTCGCTACAAAATCACCCCTGAATCTGACATTGAGGTCATGAGAAAAACAGAAATGACCACCAACTAAAGAGCCTCTCAATTGTTACACAAGTTCTCCCTTTCAGCGCCTTAAGAAATTTATAGAGAACAGTATGGAGAATATACAAAATGATGTAAGGGAGTAAAGGGTCAATTCATTTACAAGGAGATGTATAGTAATGCCAATAATCCAAACAGAAAGGGGAAAGACAGGTGGAACATCCTCTAAAAGTACCATAAACACCCTAGTAAGTTCCTTAGGGACTTATCAATCTCAGGGGCCTCCAAAAAGTTAGCTCACTGGAGAGGCCTAGGGGGTTTATTGGAGAGGGGGACTCATGAATGATGAAGGGGAGGAGGGCACTTATCAAAAAATTATTTCAGGCCAAAATACTGTACACTATATTTCTTACAAATTATTACCCAAATTTAGAATGCTTCTTACAGTAAGCATTTCTTTGATTGAAAACTGGCCCAAATGGATAAAGATCCCACTACTAAAAACACAAGAGTTTTTGTTCTAGGGTGAGGGGGAGGGTGGAGCTGATGAGACTCAAGGGGGGTTTTGCGCCACCAGTTGATCACAATGAATCGAATACATATTTTTCTTTCTAGAAATATAAACCCTACGCTTTTCAAAATTTGCAAAATTATTTCCGTGGTGTTCACTGAGTTACATAATCGTTAAAATTTCATCTAAGTGGAAAAGAGTACTGCACACCTCAAAGGATGATTCTATCCTAATTCGCCAAGAGACGAGAAATCGAAATCAAATTGGTACACTAATAAATTAAAACTAGGGTTTCTTGCGCTGAGTTTAGTGACACCCGCCGGAATAGCATACTTTGATACCTCATTACCTTGCTTACATAACGGAATAACGGCATATTTTATACCGAAGTACACGTCTAAGAACAGAGAATAACAGCAATCTGGAATGAGCGCCGCAAAAGTATAACACCCAAATCAATACGCTTCTTTCGTGGATTAACACAAGCTATCAAGAGGATTTCGAAGATTATGTGGAGATCTATTGTAAATGAAGTGGACAACAACGCGTATAAAATTATGTGATCTTACATTACATTTCAGCGGAATAACAAATGCTTACCTGTTCGATCAAGACACTTGTACGAAGAAAGACAGCCGCAGAAAATAGCAATCTGGAAGAAGATCCTCAAAAAATATATATCGCACAGGTTTACTCCTTCTGTTTTGTACAAGACTTTATCGAATAATCCGTTGCAACGCGAAGTACAGTGTAAGTAACTAACGCATGCTCCTGGCGTGACTTTGGCGTGACTGTTTTAGCGGGAGTTAGGGTCTCAGAAGGGTTCATCAATTAGCCAACAAATTCACCCCATAGCTTAGGGACTACTCTATTCTTCTCTTCTCTCTGACAGAGGGCTATCGCTCAGAACGTCATCTTTAGAAACTATTTTCGGCGGTCAATTTACGTTATCAAGAGAAACTTACCCAGCTACCCCCCACCCCACCCCATTGAGACTCAATGGGGTGGGGAGTCACGCTTTGCTATGTCTGTCCCAAGCCTCTCTCATTGCTGCACTACTAAAGTCAAAATGGCGGTCATGCATGCTTGCTTTGAAGAAACTGCATTTGCATTTGAATCATTTCTCTCATGTGGTGTCGAACACCTGCTTAGTTACGAGAGCTTGACGACACTGTTGATTAGCTTAACAATGGAAGGGACACTCTCAGAGATTAACAATCAATTTCGTAGGCAAGTAAACAAAAGGGTCCTCAGAATCGTTCAAGGATGTCTGCGTGACAATGCAAAGCCACAACGAAAGTCGACAAGTTGTCTTAACTGTCAGTTCTGTGTACACAAGGCCGAGCTTAAAGAGATAAACGGCTTTATTATATGAACATCGCGTGGTTGAATGGGATAAATGCTGTGTACGAAAGAGCTGAAAAAGGCTACTCCTGAATTGAAGTTTATTTAGTTATTTTCATTTCAATCATCTCAGTCTAATCAGTTATTGGTGTATTTTCAATGGATTCACGCGATTTTTCTGACGAGCTTCTGGAAATTTCAATACTCGAAACTAATAAGAATCTTTGCGGTCTGCTTGAAAAGTGTTTAAACATGATGATTTCGTGGATTTAACATGTCTTATCGCGGACGAGGATACAGTAACCAACATCAACAACGTCGAGCGTTGGCTAATGGCTTGAGACAAGCACCGCCTTTTCCAGCCGATAGCAACAGCGATCTGGAAGACAACGATCATGTCAGATTTCCAGAAATTGACAGAGATATCAGGGATAGAAAACCGCAAAAGAGAGATGGTAAACTTAACTACAATAGTCGCATTCCATTGCCAGCAAGGAGCAACGAAGGTGCAGCGAACGAGCTCACCGCAGGCGAGCCCAGAAACTTCAGAACACGAAATTTTAACTCATCAAATCCTGAATTTCCTAATAATTCTACCTCAGATCCAGCAGCTAGAGACCAGCGAAAAAGTAGAGTAAATGCTGTCAAGAAAATCACTTTCTATCGAAATGGGGACAAACATTTCAAAGGCGTCGAAATGGTCGTGACTAGGCAACGCTACCGATCTTTCGAGACTATTGTAGATGACCTTTCGAAGGCAATTCCACTTCCGTACGGAGTAAGAAATGTGTTCTCGCCAGGTGGAAGTGTGATTACAACTATCAACCAGCTAGAGGATGGAAGACATTATATCTGTTCTTCGGGAGACCAACTTATTAAAAATGTTAGCTACGGCGAAAAAATGAAGGATAAGCCTCGGTCGCTTGATGTGGAAAGCTTCTCTGGAGGATCTTCGCATTCTTCCTCTAGCAGGGATTCAAAGTTTGGCGGGAATTCCGACAGAAATCCGAAACCTCGCGTTATAACTATCGTGAGTGAGCGCGACAGAAACAAGAAATGCAAAATTTTGTTGAACACGAAAACCGTCAAAAGTTTTGATGCTGTTTTAAAGGACATTTCTGACATGTTGAAGTACTCTGTCAAGGAACTGCGCAATTTAGAAGGTATCAAGGTGAGGCTTAAGTTAATTTTCGTTCAGTCGGCAAGCTTCGCTGATTTCCTACGAAAACAAAATCATCACTGCCGCGTGAAAGATAGATTAACCGTTAAGAGTTACTCTTTTTCGTTCCGATTTAACGGAACTCTTGAGCGATTTTGATTTTCGTTTATTTTTAGGTCATGGGTAGAATTTTTTTTTCGAAATCACACAAAAAGGCTACGTGCAATAGGGAATTTAACCAAAATTATCCTAAACGTTGAAACCAGATCGGTCTAATTTCGTTGACAAATATTGTCTACAAGACTTAATAGCCACCTGTCTGCTTTTACACAATGCATCAAGCACCGTCCTCGAATAGATAGATAAATGGACATTAAATTGGGTAAATCAAATCATGCTCTCTCTTATCTTGCCATATTTTTCCAAATTATTTTTTAACTATTTGATGAAAGCAGTTAGTCGGTCAAGAACTGAGGCAGGCGGGCCTTTTGACATTATGGAATAGAGATGGCTGCTTATTATGAAATTACTAGTTTTTAATTATTAATAGCATTTGGTTGCTAGTTTTAATGCATGTTTTTTAGCACAAGTTTATTATTGATGTCTAGAAGATGAAGTGAATTTTGCAAAATTGATCTCTTACCTTGGAAAATTTTGATGATCTTTTGAAACATAATTATTATTATTATAAGAGGATAATTTCTTGAGGGAGTGTAATTAAATTAAATAAATTTGCATAATTCACCCCTGGGAGAGCTGGTATACCAGTGCAAAGAAGGGAGATTGTAATCTTTAAAAAAAGATGTGTGGAAATGGATAAACATTTATTGGGAAAGGATTTAACTCAGTGACTCAGGGATTTCAAAACAAGCAGATGACTGCTGGAGTTCCACCAGCTACTTGATAACATGTTGCTGGTTACTCTAGTCAAAATAGTTACCTTTTGGCCCTTAACTCTTTAACTCCCAAGATCTGATTGTTAATTCTCCCCTCTAGCTGCCTCACATTTCCTTGTGAATTAGTTACGAGAACTTGGTGCTAGATCAAGGTAGCAGCTTCTACCTGATAAGTTTAAATATTCTCATTACCTGTTTGCTGAATAATGTATAGATATCATAGGAAGAGGTTTAATGTTAATCACTTCTGGGACTAGACTATTTGCACTGCTTTGATGAAAATCCAGCTCTTTAATGGGCTGACAAACACTATCTGTATGGTCAAACATACCAATTAGTAGAAAGCTGTTTCTTCATGCAAATCTCTTTGAGTATATTAGTGACACACTGGGCTGCACCTGTGCCTCATTTTGTTCTCACCACATTTTGACCTAATCTATGATATACTTCTGAACAGATGTATGGCACCATAGACTTTAATTGTTAAATAGGGTATTCTGTTTTCCAGGTAAAAAGTCTCTCACAGTTATATCGGGATGCTGATACATTTATTGCTAGTAGCACAGAACAAGGTTCTAAGAGAAACTTGTCTAATCCATCATCTAATAGTAGTAACCATTCAGGATCTCCACCTCAAAGAAATCGTTTTCAAAAGTCCAGGAAGAAACCAAGGGAAGAATCAACTGGTATGTGGCTCAACACCTTAACTGTAGGCTTCTTACATTTTTACTTAGATGCAGTGAAATAGTATTGAATGTAAAAGTTAGGTTTGGTCAGTTTCAATTTAGACTCCAAAGGGCATACATGCACTAGTGCAAGTCTTTCGGCATTTTGTCGCAGTTGAAAGGCATGTGAGATACTCTTAACCTTTTGACCTGTACACGGCGTGAAATTAACTTTTTTTTCTGATAGCCACTTGGCTCCTAAATTCTTCAAAGTGGTAGCCAATTTAAAAAAAGTTGGTCACCATTTTCAAAGACAAACAAAATCTTTCTTTACGCTGTCAGCGTTCTAGATAGACCCTCAAAAATTAAGTTAGGGAAAAGATCTTAAACGTGCTACAAAGTGGACACTAGGATGGATGAGAAACAACATTCAGGCTCATCTAAATCCAAGATGGCGTCTAGTTATCGATCGAGATGCATGTGCTACATTTTGGAAACAAACTTAACAAGGAAGTTTGCTGCAGATTTATCTTTGCAAATCTTTTTAATTCACTATATCTCTTAGTAAGGTTATGATGAAACGTTCTAGTCACCAATTTGGCGACCAACTTTCAGGATTTGGTCACCAAAGTGAAAAATTTAGTCGCATTGGCGCCTGTATTAGGCGCAATTTCATGCCCTGCTGTAAGAGTGACTAGCATCTTCTTTCTCCCTACAGTATCACCCCCTGAATCAATTATTAATGTCACAAGAATAAATGAAATGATTACGAACTTAAGAATCTCTTGATTGTTGAACAAATTCTCCTTGTCGGCCCCATAGGAAATGTATAGAGAACATTAAGGTGAATATACATACAGGTACTTATGTTCAAGGGTAATAGATAAAGAAGGGTCAACCTTTTCCACATGCTTTGCAAATGTTTTTCACCTGCATTTTACAAGGAGAATTTCACATGCATGTTAAATTTTCATGTGAAATAAGTGTGAAAAGAATGCAAAGACTGTGCCAAGAATTTACCACTAGGAGCATCTCAGTATAAGAAACACTTGTCCATTGATGTTGTAGTTATGTGCAAAAAATGTGTAAATAATATACATACATACACACATACATACATACACACATACATACATACACACATACATATACATACATACATACACACATACATACATACACACATACATACATACTTTATTCGTCCCAAATGGGCTTTTCAGAATAAAGAAATAATTAAAACTATATACTAATAAATTAATAGGCTAATTAACCAGTAAATAAATAACATAATCAAATTAATTAATCAATTAATTAAATAAAAATAACAAAAGCAATTAAGTCTCTAAAAAGTTTGAGGTAAGGCTTCTCTTCAGGCAAAGTTTGAAATCCTTTAGTGTCAGTTTCAACTTAAGAGCAGAGTCTTAATGAGTTCCAGAGTTTGTCATGAAGTAGAAAGTTCTTTGTCCTGTGGCAGTTTTATACAAAGGAATATTTAGCATCTCTGAGTTCCTCATTGTACACTTAGTGATGGTAGCTCTTTGGATATACTTAGAAAATAAAGAGTCTAGAGCACACCCAGTCATGCATTTTAAGGCCATTATTGTATGGCAATAATGCAACTGCTGTCTTACATGCGATTCTCTCTTTTCAGTTAAAAGCCAAGTTGTGACCATAAAAGTAAAAGGACGTGTACATACTTATCATCACACATCAGATTTGGATAACTATACAATTGACGAGTCTCCAGTATCACCACCAGACTCCAAGCTGCAACTCTCTTGGGTGTATCTTTTC